AGTTGGCGGCGGCAACGTTTCTCCAACTGATATATTGATTTCGCGGCTATTGGACGAGCCTCGATCGTCCCGATACCCATACATACATGTATACCAGTAGCCAGCGGGAAGACGCTTAAATTACTGGATTCTCTCGCGCATATTCATCGATTTTGCACGTATATTTTATACTTATATCAGCCCACAAAGTGTATTTTACTTCACGGCTCGAGATAAAAATAATAACAATAATAATAATAATAATAATAATAATAATAATAACGCACGGTGGATTCAAAGGGGGTAATAGATTTTACAACGCTCTATTCAAATCGGTTTTTACGCAAGATCGGCTTCGATGGTTAATTTCCTTACCTGCATCTCGGGAAATTTACATACAACGGGCACAAGTTTCTTTTTCCGACCCTTTTTGTTGTTGTTGTTGTTGTTGTTGTTGTTGTTGTATTACACCGTTTTTTCTACGCTCGGGTGGAAAAGTCTCAGAGTTGAATCTTATCTTGCGTTTTATCTGAAATTCAAATGAAAAGTTTGCCAACATTAGTACCATTCAATGATGATTACTGCGGGTGGCCCTGATAATTGTAAGGACCAAGCTGTGCTATGTCAATGTCGCATTGAATGCGTGTAGGCAGAAAACACAAAAAAGCATAAGGCGTTGGAACGAGATTTGCTTGAACAAAGACTAAGTATGTGATCTCGGTTTTCGAAGCAGATACAAAACTACGCTAGATTCTAACTTATCTGAAGGAAATGGTCTCGGATTCACTCCAAACACCACAATTGTCGTCCACAAGTGGCTCATAAGATCAAGCACCACAAGGTTCGAATTTTTTTTATGCCTATAGTTGAAATTATACATTCGCCGTGACCCTATAGTAAAATCCATGTCGATCCTTTGTATGCGGACCAAGCGGAGACACAATACCGATCAAACACAACATATTCTCCGAGCGCGATGTTGTTTTCTCCTCAATTAATAGCTAAAACAGCGTGAATTGGGTATTGCATCTCATCTATAACCTGTCATCTGCTCTATAGACAATTAACCCAGATTCTCGAGTACGATAACATCCCCCCACCCAGTTAACCTTTTGATCCCGAGGTGCGATCGTACATAGAGGGGGTTGGTACAGTTGGAGCTCGACTGTAAACTGCTATACTACACAGGTGTTTCGCATGAGGGCATTGTGTGTTAAACATTGTGGCTGTCTTTTTTTCTATCGCTCTCGTTCGAGTCCAAGTGCGTGTCGAGAAAAATCCACTTGTGGAATGTCACTCGCAACACTTCCTCGCTTGTTTTACATTTTTTTATGACGGCAGGACTCGATTCTCTTTGCAATCACCCATCAAACCCTCGAGTCGACCAGCCTGATCACCACCGAAAGGTGAGAATTTTTTCATAAAAAGTTGTTGCAAATACAATTTTATTTGCAACAACAGCACAATATAAAAGTTACACGGCCGACGTTGATCGAACTGCTGGTATGGTATATAGTTACCTGAAGAAGAGCTGAAAATCTGAAATACTTCCGCCGAAGCCTATTAACGAGAGCATATTTATAACGATGGGCGATGAATATTCAACGGATCTACAAGTTGCCACCGACGAAAAAGACCAGACTTTGCAATCATTGACACGGCGTTTTAAGGCCTTACAAGCTCTTTCAGCGAATAAAGTGCTGCAGGAGGAAAAATCGAGGAAAAAGAAAGGAAAGGATGACGCTTGCACGCATGCACGTCCTACTCGAAAATATATACTTTTCGTATACATCACGCGAGCCTCTATGTAATTTTTGAGCGTGTGTATATAATAACTGGTTAGGCTCGCCAAAGGGCCGTGCTCGTGTGTGCGTGTGCGCATTGTGCTGTATGGCAATCGAGAGAAGGATAGAGAGGTAGAAGAGGCTCTAATAAAGAAAAAAATCGCTTATCGCCCGAGCGATGATTCACGGTCCCGACAGCGGGAAGGTGTCGCCGCGCTTGTATGCATAAGCGGGACTCATTACCGAGCCTCCCCGGCATGCTCTTTTCCTTCCATACGCTTGTATACGCTGTTTTTTTTTTTTTTTTTGTTTTTTTTTACCCCCCGTGCCCACGCGACCGTACGCTGCCGATTAAAATTACTGCTGCCATATCTTCCGTTTGCTCGGCTTGAATTCCATATATTTTCGCGCTTATTTTTGCCTCGCAATATTACTATTTCGTGCTTTGGATCAGATTCGCAAAGCCACGGCAAAAACTGTATCGTAATGAAAATCGATATTTCGCGAATGGAATTGCCATGTTAAATAACATTTAATATATATTATGTGATCACTCAAATGAATTACTATTTTTTATGCACGACTAAATTCATATTTTCCAAAAAATTCTTCAGTACCTCAGACACATCATTTTTTATTCATTTTTTTTACTTCGTCGTTCTAATGATAGCATGACTTATGAATTCAACTTATTGGAAAAAAATGATACATACAAAATTTTTAAACTCAAAACAATACGTGTTTGTGCTGAACACTTTTTGGTAACATGCACTGTCACAGCACTCCTTCAGGTGACCATTTGATTTTACTGTTGAATGTACATTTATCTTTCTAATGTATCGCCAGAAAGTAAAAATTATCTTAAAATAAAATAGTTCGTTACATGACACCTAAATTTTTAATTTTATGTTTTACTATGATTATATACCAAAAGCGTAAGATTCAACGAATTGAGCTTTCGTGTCTAGATATTTTTACGCTGTTGATGCATTGAAAGATTCTTCAGTTACACTGCAATTAATTTTTTTTTTTTTCATATTAGACTACTAAAAAAATGTATATTTGTCAAAACAATTTTACGGATCAGTAAGTATGGTAAAAAAAAACTTAACCAGAAGTATAACGTATTGAATTCGTGCATATTGCAATAAATACCGTAGTTAGAAATAGGCTTATTTAATATTTGAAGCATTAATATTACTTTGCTAAGTCATATATATGGATTACAACTCATTTCTCATGAATTTCACTTATTGTTAAATGTGATAAGAAGTGTTTAAAGATTTGTTAGAGCAACTCTTATCAAATTGTTCAATTAATTATTTAAGTTAATGAATAATGATGCATACGAGATTGATCCGTCAGTAAAACAATAAGAAAATAATTCAAATGTATATAGAAGAGTGAGTTCTTGAAGTATCGGTCATCACAGAGAGAGAATCATGCGAATATGTATATTTTTATTTATAAAAACGTACTATACAGCATAAAGGTATTTATGTACATTTTATCATAATTATTCGCGAATAATCGTTTGTTTTATGTATATTTTTATTTATAATATCGTTCTATACAGCATAAAGGTATTTATGTACATTTTATCATAATTATTCGCGAATAATCGTTTGTTTTATGTAAACGCGCGAACTGGGCCTGTTTGTCCACGTCAAATATATTTTTTTTCTTTTTAAGATAACTTTGTTTCCACAAAGCCAAACAAATAAATTACGCGGCTCGTTGGCAAATCTTGCAACTTAGGTCACTCAATATCTGGAGGTGTATATTATTGTACACTAAAGTCGCATCCCTGAAAATCGAAAGAAAAAAAAAAAAAAAAAAAAAAAAAAAAAAAAAAAAAAAAANTATGTGCAAGCAAATAAAATATTATAAAAAATATTTTTGTGAAACAGCAGTGAACAGAATTAGAAATGAAACGTCTTATATTAATTAGCAACAGCATATCTGTGAATTTTGCACCATAGACAGATAGACTTAGCGTATGTATTGGAAATTCGGAAACTCTAAACCATGTTTTCAATTTTTTGACACTTTTTACTTTACTGTCAGTAAGAGAGTTCTGCACCAATAGTAGATCATGAATCAAAAAAGTAAGTTTACGTTCTAAAGTCATCTGCATTACCGACAGACCATAAAAATCCTACTGACGGTAGCCCTTACCCTTTATCAACAGAGTACAAATTGACTAGTGGTAAGTTGGAAAATTGTTACCTTGACACATAGTAACGTAGCATCAAAAATTTGTGGTAAGTTGGAAAACTATTACATTCACTTTCAGTAATAAACTGTCTTAAATATTTTTGGCATATCAGTTGAAACAAAATCTTTTATTTTTTATTTTTAAAAGTAATATTTGATGTAAGGTAATTTTGAAGTCAACACTTAAGTTCATTTAAATGAATGATGAATAATTATTGAATTTTGTAGAAAAGCATCGTATTTGAAATCAGCTAGCTTAAAATAATTACACAAAATAAAATCAACCGAAAAAGTTCGTAAAAATTTTTTCTCGTCGCATTATATGCAACAATTGTTCAATATTGTTTTTATTTTTGTTTGTCTTGTAGCAACAGTGCAATTTTTATTTTCAATATAAGAAAAACTGTATTTTTGCAATAGTACTAGAATTATGTACATAAGTACACTACCGATGAATCACCCAAAGATATCCGAGAACCATGAAAAACTTTGATTATCTGACAGCAGTGAGCCAGCAAAATATCAAAAATAGTGTACAAGTGCGAGAGAACCTATGTCATGTGGCCTCTCTCGCACTCACATATCTTACCGACTTGAAACTATATGACATAAAAAAAAAAAACACAGTACACAAGAATAGCATTGGCTGATATGTGTGTATGAAAATATAGACATATATAAATGTACAAGTTACTGTTATTCCTGTGTCTACGTCTTTTTTTTTTTTTTTTTTTTTTTTTTTTTTTTTTTTCTACTGTACAGGCTTTACTGTTGGCAGCTATTGCTGAACGCAACTATGATGTCATACCGGCTTTTACTCAACCTTGATAAGTTACAAAACTACGACGTTGGCTTTAAGTATGATACATGCTTTGTGTTTGCATAGTTTCAGACGGCTTCGCACGCCCACCATGACTAAAAGACGGGTATGAAAAATCTGTTCAATTAGTATTTAATGTAAAAAACATTAAAGTCAATCTCAATTTTATTTTTTAATATTACACTTGTTGATGTATCACACGTTCTTTTTTTTTTTTACAGATTTGTATGCTTCATAAGGGTTCTTAAAATAAAATCAGTGTATTAAGTGCTATCGTTTTAAGTTATACATGTATATAAAAATATATTTCATTCTTTTTAAATATCATTTATACATCACAGCCATTTTTAACAAAGAATATCCATTTGTAAAACTAAAACAAACATATTCTATTAATATTAAGTAAGAAAAATTTCGTACGATGAATGTATATTTGAGTGGTAGAGTAACTTCGATTATTTTTAGAAACAACAGCTCAATTTAACCAAAGTGATTTTAGCGACTGAAGTATGACCTACTAATTTATAAACTTTGAGTAAATATATTAATCACTGCCAAGGATACAATTGTATATTCATACATCCACATATTTTTGGCCTTATTGTTGTAGTACTATAGTATTATTATAAGTTACATATCTCAAATTTAAATTTAAATTAAATAAAAACTTATATTTTATCGTAAATATTCCTAAAAATTTTGTATTAATAAAAATTATATTAATATTGCAAAAAATTCTTTTTCAAAATAGTAAGAACTTTGAATTATTAAGAATCTTGATATTGCACGTGTCTGTCATGGTCATATATAATTTGGAATAAACTTGAATTAGAAGTAACGCTAGAATCTTAATGTCACAGTATTCAATAGTTGTACTAGTAAACTACAGTTTTTATTTACAATCAGTCTTGAATTTTAACAATAAATCATTTGTGTATAAAGTAACCATATTAATGGATGATTAACTTTTAAGAAATTGACTATAAAGAAATCTGACGTCAATATATACATACATATACGGGCTTAAAACTTATAAATTAAGTGGTAGAGTGACTTAGATTTTAATATTTCTATACTTACAGTAAAAGCTAGATAAGATTTTGTTTCTGTTAGGAATGTTTCTTATACGTTATCCTGAAATTTTTTTTCGTGGCATGTGCTGACATAAAAATATTTTTATATCGTAGATGTAAGTTGGTATCTCACAACAATTATAAATCATTCATACTTTTCATTTTCAAACGTGATTTACATTCACTTACAGGTATGCTATATATGATAAAATTTCTGTGAGGCACAACTAAAAGTGTACGCGAGAGAAACTTTGTGGCATGTTGACGTAATTTAAACTTGTATTGCTACTAGTACTGGGAACAGAATCTGTTTTTATACTAAGCAATGGTTTTGTACTCTCTAAATCAGACACACACTCAATTCCTATCATATCATTAACGTTTTCATTTTTCGAAAAGGAATTACTTATATTAACCAATGGTAGGTTACTTCCAATTTGACAACGTGCATCCTCTTCTGACCACGGGAATGATGGTTGCCTGTTTGTTGAATCCATGCGCATTTCTATCTGACCGGTGTGTTCAAGTTGTACACTTGCAAGAGGAACATCAAGACTTGGTGCAATCACTCGAGGATAATTTGTCAAAAATTCTACAACTTTTGGTGCTGTTGGTCTTTTAGAAGGATCCTTTGACCAACAAGATACCATTAAGTCTTCTCTAAAAAAATAATACGTAAATTATAAGTAAAAAACAAAAAATTTTAACTCACACGTCTCAATACATACAATTGTGATTTAACACCCTTTGGTACTACTAAGGAATTTCCAGATTTCACGTACGTAAGAACTTGATTGTTGCTCATTCCTTGGAAAGGAAAGCTTCCAAACGTTATAATTTCGTACAACAGAACACCATAAGACCATATGTCTGAGGCCGGTGTAAAAACTCCTAGCTCTAAGGATTCAGGAGCCATCCATCGAACCGGAAGCATGGCTGAAAGTATGCATGATTAATTGTAAAAAAAATAATAATAAAGTCATATTTTAAAGTATATTCGTGATTTACCTTTTCTACTAAATTTATAGTAATCGTTTTCATACATGGGCCTGGTCATACCAAAATCGCCTAGTTTGACTACTCGTTGATCATTTACAAGACAATTTCGAGAGGCAACATCCCTGAAACAGTATTACAGTATGACATTATAAATGACCACTTCTTTATTACTTATATGCACACACGGAATAAGGATTAGTCAAATTTTCTAACCTATGCACATATTTTAGTTGAGCTAAATAGCTTAATGCTTTTGCAGCATCGAGGGCCATTGCAGTTAACTTTTTGTTCGATATTTCACTCATGTCTTCGTGAATTTTCGAATTATGATCTTGATTTTTATTAATTAAATGCCGTCGAGCCAATAAATACGTTTTTAAATCACCGTAAAGCATAAACTCCATGATCGTTAGCACCGGTTCATTTTTTAATACTACTGCTAACAACTGAACAATGTTTTTATGATCGAATCTCTTCATTACTTCTACTTCGCTTAAAAAATTGAGTTTTTCTTCAGTACTGCTCCCAATTTTTAACGTTTTAACAGCAACACCAAGCCATCCTTTTCCATCAAAGAATGCTTCACCTCCATACACGGTTCCGAATGCCCCTTCGCCAATTTTCCGATTGATAACAACATTTTCTCTCGGTATTTCCCATTTATCAAGACTTGCTGAATCGTAAGTTTGTTCGAGATCAATACCTAAAGATTTCATGAGAATTTCTTGTTCCATTAACCTTTTGTCATAGCTGTCAAACGTTACGAGAGTATAAATTTATATAATACACACACATTTTTTTTTTATACAAGATTTAAAAAATACTCACCGTCTTTTCCAAATATAAAACAGAATGCTAATCAACATGAAAAAAAGCATGAATATTGCGACAATGAAAACTACATTTGAACCTTCACACGAAAGATCAAAAATTCCAGCAATCAATGGAAAATTACAATCGTATGGTGAAAATGATCCATCATCTGGTATCTTTCCAAATAGCCATTTAATGTCAGTGGTATTTAAAACTAAATTTCCTCCTTTAACTAAATTTGTTTCTTCCGAGATGTTTGGATGAAAATATCCAACTGTTTGAGTTTTTCCATCAATGTTTTGACGAATGTTGATCACAGGAAATCGTGATGGCCCTTCTACAAATTTAATCCTACCGGAAACCTGAAGAAAATTTAGTAAATCAAAATTGAATAACACTCGAAATTTTAACTTTAATTTTAAATCATTCATACCCCGTTGAAGTCAGTCTTGGATACAATTTCAGTGAGTCGTTTTATCGTACGTTCCGAATGGAGCTCAAAAACATAGCTTTGGTTCTCTTTTAATAATTGGTCAGCTGCTAAAGCAAGGGTCCACATGGCGTCGTAAGCATATCCAGCGTAAGGCGATGGGGATTCTTTTTGAGAAGCACAATTTCTTTCATATATATCGCGCCATTGCCGTACCGTTTTTCCTTCTTGCATAATATTATTATCAGGCGCAAAATTTGCATGAGAAATGGCTAAATAGCCATTGATAGCTTCTTTCATTTCAACAGTTGAACAAGGTGTATTTTCGCCTCGACTATTATATGAATCAGTGTCAAACCAATCGTTTCGTAGCCATGGCGGAAGGAACCATACGTAACCCTATGTGTTTTAAAACACATTAACTCTTAATATATTATATAAAAAGTCTTATTTAAATCAGAAAACTTGTCACCAGTTACATATCAAATTATATAACTTTGAATTAAATATATTTTTCAAATGGATTGGCGATCTTTTATTAAAAAAAAAAAAAATAATAGATTGTTAGTCAAATTGCTTTTTTAAATAATCTTATTAAAAGTTAACGAAAGTGTCTTTTGGACACTTTTTATAAAAATTTTTTTGTGCTTTATACGTTAAAAAAATTTTCCCAGCTGTCCAAGCAGCATTTAATTTTTAGGTATTTACACACAAATTATTATCTTTGGAACCTCTAAATTTTGCCTAGTAATGGGGCTTGAAATTTGTGGACGAGACTAGTTTTATCTCAAATAACAACATTACCAACTTTGGTTCAAACTTAAAGCTTTTCGATGTCTTAATGAGCCATCTCAAGGTTTTTTAGTACGAAAATTCCATTACCTGAATAGCAGTCATTTTTAGTTTATAAGCTTTACACATGATAAATCGAGCTACTGGATCGTAAACATCAGATATTATTATTTTTGCTCGTTTTTGTTTAAGATCCTCCAAATGCTGCAAAAGAAAAAAAACACAAATTACTACCTTGTAAAAAAAGTTTTAATAATTACATTTATATTGTAAGAAACATACATTGGTTAACAATTCTAGTTGTGCCTCTCTTGGAAATTTTATATTGGCAACAAAAGTTATGCCATTTTCTCTTAGCAAATCTTGCATGTATGATATATACTCTGTATATTTTAAACCATCTTCAGAAAATGCTGCGACTCTTTGCCAATTGAATTTTTTCAACAACTCTAAGTACATGTATTTGTATTGTCGATTTGCTCCAATAGTTCGGAAAAAGTATGGGTATCTTGTCCTGTCATTTAAACTAGAACCCTCGGCAGAGTAGCTCATAATTACAAAAGGATAATGATTTGATACCCCAGCAAGAGGCTCTATTGTTTCTGAACAAGCAGGTCCGAGAATTCCAATCATTTGTTGATACTTGGGATGCTGAAGGTATTCAATAAATGATTTTAAAACCATTTCTGACTTACACTGCCCATCACCTATCAGCATATTTAAATTATAATCTCGTAAAACGGTACTATTTTGATTAATAGCTATTTTAGCCATTTTTGCTGCCAAAACGATAGATTTAGCTGTATAAAAACTACCAGTCATCGGAAAAATACCTCCAACTACCAGCATATTTTTATTTTCATTGACAGGCTTCCAGTTTAATAGAGTATAATTTAAATTTTTTTTCAACCAGTCACAAGCTACTTCATGTTCGATAACCGATGACTTGTATAAATTATTGAAGTTATTCACCAATTTTTCATTATAACTATTAATTAGATTTTCATACATTTCATCCGAAAATTGAATTCGATTGATTGCTTCAAAAGCTAATTTGGCTGTGAGCTCCAATTCATTCCACACAAATTTTTCCAATCTTCGTAATTCATACTCACATCCTTCAGAATAACCTCGAGACCCACATTTTGGAAAGTCGACGTTAACAAATTCTCTCTGATTTGGTATAATGTAACTAGGCGTCCAATGCAAAATTACCAAAGACTTAGTAGGTTGGGACGTATTTGGTAACAAGTATTCTTTTGTTAAAGACTTGACAATTTGTCTCAAATGAGGACCTACCCAAGCAACTTTTACATACAACTTCCAATGATCAATGTGATTTTTTATAAACTTTGTCGCGTAAGAATAATCAGAAAGTAACAGAGCACAAGGTTGTACATTTTTCTTGTAAGATTGACACTGAGGGGGAATGTACATTCCCTTTTGACAAAATTCTTCTTGACAGTAGTACTCTTCTTCAGATTTCAAAGTAGCACTCATGATTTTTTTCAAATTAAAATCGTCAACGTCAAAGCGGCCAGCTGTCTCTTGTTTTGTAAAAGTCAACCAGCTACTATCATTTATTTTAAATAATTTTGCTGGTATAAACCAACCCAAGTACCCTGGTGATCTAACCACGCCAGCTTCCAATACATCATGCTTGGTCCGTAACGCTTTGATGTCTATTTGAGGAGGTACCCAAACTTCCATGTTGACCATTGATTCAGGAGTTCTAGTTAAATTTAAAATGAATCATGAGTACAATACGCGTATGGCTTAACAACTTTAAAAATTTATACTCTTACCTGAGACTGCGAGGATTGTATAATCTGGAAAATGTTGCAGTTATGTTGGATTCGTCTTCTTTTTCAACAATAACTACATCAGGATATCCTAAAACTTCTTGTAAAAATATCTTTGTTACCCTAGTGACAAGTCTTTGCGTTACTCTTCGGGATATTTCCAAGTAAATGTCTATGTATTTACCATCTAGAATAGCGTATCTTTTAGGATTTACTTCTGAAAAAATCAATTCTACATTAACATATTAGATCTTCATCGCATTACAATACATTAAAGAAATACTTCTGATTGTTCAACCAACCGTCAATCGCAGTCAGACATTGGTTTGGATCAACTTTTTTTATGACGATCCAGAGAAGCATTAATCCGAAAAAAAATTTTTTCGTCCACATTTTAAGTATTACCTGTGTTGAAAATTTATTGTAAATTATATTATCTGAAGCATGATTAATTATATGAATATTTAACTGTTTTTTTTAATACCATTTTTCATAAATATCTTTCGACTTAAATCATATGCTGCTCATAGTGTTAATTGTAAGATAAAATTCGACTATTGATTGTGTATTAACTTATAATATTTGATTATATAAAAGCTCATGGTACAGTTTAATTAACTGAATCTTTTTTTGATTTATTTTAATAGAAATATCATTTCAGACTTCGAGCATGTACTTAAAATTCATAATTACGCTGAACTTTTAGTTTATGTCAACGTTTTTTTTTATAACTGCAATGTCAAGGGCTGAATCACACAAAATGCTCGTATTCTATCATTGGCAACCATAGGCTGCAACACAAATTCTTTCTATCTTTTTAATTACACATATACAGGTCGCAAAGAAAAATCAATTGTAGCAGGATGGCGCGAATACTTTTTTGACTTGTATGCGGTTACGTACTGATAAGTGCTTTCAAGCTTATATTGATGTCAGCAGCATCTTTACGTAGATAACTTTTTCACGAACTGGCCACGTGATTAAAAATCCTTTGATTTCAAAGTTCATGTATATTTAATAAAACATTATTTATACCAAAGCAGTTATTATTACTTTAACACGTTTCGTATAAGGCCGATAATTTCTTCTAAGATCAGCTGAAAAATGTATTGCATAATTCTTCATGAAATGTTACAAAAACAAAAAATGGATTAAAATGATCCATGGGGTACTAAGGCGTCTTAATGCTCAACCAGGATGTGTGTAATTGTGGCGTCAAAGCGAGAATGACCTGCGACCTCTGTTATCGCAGCTGAATAAAACATTACGCTACCTTGATCATCACAGTGAATACATTAAATTTATTTTCTGTTTTGAAATCAACACGCTTAAGTAATACATATTTTTTATCAGCTATAAAATCTGTCACTAGATTTTTTCAATTTTCAGTTGAACATTAAATTATGAATTCAGAACACTAAAGTTTGCTTATTTTTGATTTGCACTTCTATAACTCTTCATTAACATGAGCTAATTTTTTCTAGTTTAAATTTTTAATATAAAGTTTATATTTATTAAATAAAACTAATATTCTACGACGTTTTAAACATGTAGTTGTTCTTTTATAAGTTTTAAACACTCCATTTGTTATGAATACTCAATATTATTAACTGTTAGCATTAACTGTTTTAATGTCATTTAATAAAAATTAATATTTTTATTTGTGTAAGTATTTAACAATTTTTTAAATTAAGATTATGAAACTAAATTGAATGAGCTTAATTAAATTTGACAAGTTAATTGAAGTTACATTTTTTTTCATTTTACTTTATTTACCATTATACAGAAATTAGTTATTCCACTAAAAAAAGAGTCTATATTTGAACATTTGCACACAACAATATGTACATAATATTATTACAAGAAAACGATTGGTTATCTCAGATTCGGTATAATTGGCTTTAACTTATATGTACTGTTCGCAAAACAATATAAAATAAAGGAAAAAGTCACTGTATGTTATGACAGCTTGAAAAAAGGTATTCAAATTTTAAGAACTTTTAACAGTGTTCAAATTGACGTGATAATTTCCTCCAATACTTTTTCCACTTAATTGACTAACAATAATCAATTTGGTATGTATTTTTACAAAATTTTCTGAAGAACATCAGTACAGTAAATTCTGAGGTCGGATTCTCGTTGCGTCATTACTATTAAATGTATTTTTTTTCTTAGTCAGACACATTTATAGAACAGAGAGTTTATTTGGATATCTCAAGCAAGTATTCCATAAATTTAAAAGTAACTGGTACGTTACGTATGAAGAGTCATCTTTATTTATAATTATTGTTTTTTTTTTTTTTGTTTTTTTTAGTTACGTAACTTTTTTTGAGACTCCTGATTCATTGTACTCAAATATTGTATTGAAATTTTGTATCCTTAGAATCTTGTTTAAAAAGTTTCGCTATACTTTATTTTATAAATATTATTATAATACTTAGAATAAACAAAATATTTTTAAGTCAAGTTTTACAACTTATCAGATACCTATGGCTAGCATCGATGTTACTTTCACCCCAGCATTTATAAACATCAGCGGAAATAGAAAATTCTATTTCTGCTTGGAAGCTCGTAAATAGAAAAGAGGACCAGATATGAGTATCTCTAAAAATGTTTTGTAAGTTAAGTGAATTCGTACAGTAGAAATTCTTTAAAAAAAAGCGAATTATTTTCGAGTTAAAAGAAATTTAATTAACGCCGTATTTTATGGCTCAAGATATTAAAGTGAATGAAAGGAATGAATGAATGATATGGAAAAAAATAAACTCAAACAATGTCAACTTAATCTTATCTCAAACGCACAGTCGCAGGCAAGAGTTTTAGTGCGCCCGAAAAAAATTTCCTTGGTCTGTTATTTTTGCGATGTGCACCTCGAACGATCTTTATCGTGGTTAACATGCATTCGCTCCAAAATGCCAGTGTTTATGACGTAGATTTAAAAGTGGAAGGTGGTGTGTGCTTTGCTCGGGCTCACTGACCAGACAACCTTGTCTCCAGCGATCGACGTCTGTCATGGATAGCATGTTTTTATTAGATTTACATGCGCAGGTAGACAGGCTGGTAAAACATTTAATAAGTTTGCACAACTACCATTTTGTTCACCTGTAAATTGCCAACTGACTTAACTTTGGAGTGTGGACGATAATAAATATTTTTTGCGAGCTAGAAGAGCACATAGCCGGGTTAATGTCAACCCACGTCTCAACTCTCTTTTTATTTAACGAGCTACTCACAATGAAATGCGATTCACTCATTGTTTTGAAACTTTTATGATAAGACGATAAAGTTAATCAGCTTTTGTCAGACATTGTTGTGATATACGTAGAAATAACTCATATACGTAGAAATAACTACCTTGTTTGTTACGACTGTGTAAATTGATGTTTAAAAGCTAATAACTTTCTATCACAAAAATGTTAAAGCTGTACATATCATACTTGATTATTTCGTTTTACTTATTTTAGCTTTAACAAATTTTTTATTTTATTATAACAAACTATTAAATATAACATCTGCAAAGAATTCAAAATGAAAGAACACATGGAAAAGTTCTTATGTTATGTTTGTCGAATATTTTTAGGCAAAGAAACTGGAGGATTATAATCTGACATTATACTATAAATCTTTACGTAAAGAGAAAAAAATCTTCCAATTACCTTTTCTACGTAATATTGTAAGTATTTTAAGCATAAGTGGAAATAATTTTTTTTTTTTTTTCAACCAATTTTAAAAACTACCCAGAAATAATAAATAAAGAGTACAGATAACAACGAATATTATTGATGTTTGAGTGATTATTTTATTCTTTAGCAACGGAAAGTTTTCTGAAGCCATTCATTATAAGTCTCTGGTATTCAATAATAATAAAAATAACAAAGTTGCTTTATTTATTAACATGCTATAAGCATGCTATAAAATATTTTTTTGGCCAAGACGAAATTCAGTTTAAATTTTTACAAATCTAAAATTTAATTGGACCTCCATGACTTATGTTTTCGGTATAAAAAATGGATAATTTCAAGAATTCCTCTAAAAAACAGAAAAAGAAAAAAGAAAAAAAAAAGATTAGAACCGATGTGTGATAAGCAACACATTGTGTACATACATGTTCATTAAATTTTCTCTCTACTGACACAAAAGTACTGTAAACAATAATGGCTTATTAAATGTTATACAACTTAATTTAATCTTATCCTTCGATAACATTCTTACTTGTAAATTTTTGTTAAGGCATAATCAGTTATCGAGTTTTGGACCATATCTTTTATGCACGTTAAGTGTAATGTAGTTTGTACTGTTTACATACTTTTTTTAACTGAGAGTTAAAATTTTTTGTTTGTTTGTTTACTGTTGACTTCTACAGCGGGCATCATATGAAAGACTTATCGAATACGTCCTTGAGTCTCAATAACAAGTAAAGTACATTTCGTTACCCAAAATTTCCAGAATAAAAATAACATTGCTTACATTCAGAGTGTGTAAAACAATTTTTAATATAAATTTTTTATTTTCATACTAATTTGTAGACGTATCTCAAACGAAAAAGATCTTGATTGTAACAATGACGAATTCATCGCTTCATTATTCATTAGCTTAACACTTGTTTAGATGACACTTGGTTTTCGATGAAATATGGTTATTTAGTTTTTACGATTCTTAATAAATAGAGAGTCTGTATTTATGAATAATTTATTCGTCAGGTATCGTTTTAAATAAATTCACCAATTAATTGAATGTGACTATTATTTTAGAATAAAGTAAGAAAAAAACCTAGTTCGACTCATAACAAAAAGTTGATTTTTAATCCGAAAGTGAATAAAGATTACACATATTATTGTTGTTTTTGATGAAGTAAAATAAAAGTAAACATCTCATTAAAATATAGTTTTGTTTTATGAAATGTTATTTCAACTAAAAATACGTTTTTCATTACATACTGTCAAATTATTTTAGTATATTTCATTTTCATGTGTATTTTATAAATAAAAGTTGACAAATAAGAGTATGTCATTATTTATACGTGACCTTGTCTCAAAAAAAAAAAAAAAATTTATTTTATGTGTAATAATTGTAAAAATGATCGTAATAGTAATAATCACAACAATTGCTTTTAAATAAAAACATATGAATTCTGTGACTACAAAAATTCAATACGAAAGAGTATGCTTTAAATTGAGAACCTTTTTGTCTTATTTACATGAATATTGAGTCAAGATATTAACGATGTTTATACTACCATACGCTGGAATACGTTAATTTCACTTGTAACGCTCTCTCTACTCGGATAAAAGTCTTTAGTCATACATAAAAATATTTCTCGTCTTGAGACTTCACCCAACTTTTCCTTACTTTCTAATTCCTACATTCAAAAATTAAATCTTCAAAAAAAAAATAGCTTTTTATATTCATGTTGAAGTTAGTGAGATGTATCAACGATGCCATACTGTAATTTTTTTTTAATGTCTTAAACTTTACTTATCGTTATTAATAGCCATGAGCCTCCATTTTTATCAAGTCAATTATACGATTGCAGGAATGATTCATAAGACCGAAAAATATTTGTCCTTTAATTTAAAAGACTACTCAGTTATGAAAATACAAGTAATAAATCAATAAGAATCACAGAAAAACATCAGGTAAGGACTGTACGAACCTCTTGATAGATCGTTTAAAATTGTAAATCCTTTCACTAGCTGCAGCACAATTACTTAGTGGTAGGATGAGAAAAAAGAAGGTACGCATTATCCACTTCCTGTTTTTCTATACCTCTCACCTATTACCCGGGCAGTACTCGCAGTGGCGTAGCAATGATTGCGGGGAAGGTCACGAGATCGGCAATCGGTACAGCCAACGAATTCATTTTGCTTGTTGCGTGACAGCCAGTCACGTAAATTTAAAATTTCAAGCAAATTGTTCGTTATTATCGGCATCTCTGCTGATGTGATTCATATTTATTCTTCTGTCTCACGTAAAATGACAGCGTTGACGGCTCTGTTCAGTGGCTCGTTGACAATAATAAAACACAGCCATATGAACGAATCAAGACATATCGAAGACAACTAATCAGTTAAAATTTTTTCAACACAAGACAAGTCGTCACAAATGTTACTCTAAACTTTACAGTTCGTTTCTCTCAATTTTTTTTGCAAATTAAACCACACTTACAATCGTTGAAAAAACTAGGTAATTTTTCGTAGAGCGTAGGTAAGTAAGTAGTTCTCAAACATACGTGTGTTGTAAGCAGTAATTTAAAACTATCATGCAAGAACCCAGGTTTTGTTTTTCATGTTGAATGCACTACTATTCACTTTTTTTACAAAATTATTTACGTCAAGCTTAAACGTAACTTGAAAGTTAACTTGGTAGTTTACTTGATAGCACAATATGGCGATTCACTGAAACTGAGCTGGGTTTTTCTTGTACTTTTACAAATAACCTTCTGAACAAAAGACAGGAAATTATAATCAACTGGATAACGTCATACTTTCTGAAACTTTCGCACTTTAAAGACCGAGTGAATCGCGCGTCACAGTTAGCGCAGAGATAAAGATAGATAGAAAGAGAAAGAGTGAGAGAGCGAGAGGGGGGAGAGAGGAGAGGAATGATGCGGCGAAACGGGGCTCGGCACGTTTACTGCGCAGAGGTTGGTGTTCAACTGAAGGAGAGACGTCGCACCGTGTTCTAGTAGGAAGAAGTAGGCACTATACTTCTTTCTCTGTCTTTCGTTCGTTCAAATGTAAAGAAAAAGAAGTAGTTCTCAATACACGTACCGAGGGATAATAATTGTTGCAACTAAACTGGTACATACTTCACCTGGAAAATATGTTTTCTATTGATCTGGCAAATGACGACAGGAATACAAATATTTTTTCCTCACAAAATGTTTTAACTGATTTGGTGTAATTTTATGCAAGTGAAACATTTCGAAACAAGTTTCATCAAAAATAATATTGTGTGCGTGTTAAAAAAAATACACTAAACTTTTTAACGTAGTATTTTTCTCAACTTAGTTACGTTAGACGTACTTCGCGAGATCTAAAAAAGTGTGACTACTATTATAAGAGGTTACAAATGTTTCTATACTCTAGTATTCCAAAAGCACCAAACTACCTAAGGAAAACAAAATTTTTCACACGAATTTTTCATTCATTTTTTCGTCCAACCAATATAATCTTGAGATTTTTGACAATTGTGTAAACATTTTTTGAAACGATTTTTAACGTGAACGACAAAATGTATAAATCAGTAATAGTTTAAAGTTTTTTTTTTTTTTTTTTTTTTTTTTTTTTTAATAAAAACGTTCATGTCGTGTATCAGGGTTAGCATTAAAGTATACAAAATATGTTTGTACATTACATATAATTTTGTTCTATATCAACTGAAATTCAATCAATAAATTTTTTTGTCAATAAGTTTCTTATAAATAACCAAAATAGCGGTACTCCAGATAATTTTTACAAGTTACAAGTTACGTGTTTCCAAATATTATTTCAATCCAGCCTAATTTAAAAAAAAAATCTGCCAAACAAATCATTTATCTGACTTAACAACCATACATGTGAAGGATTTAGTAAAGGGACACTTAATCCTTTAAAATAGAGGATTATGACTGTGTCTTAAGTTGATAGATATTTATTTTAATCTTAAGCACCTACGTAAAGGCAACCCTTTTTGCAGACGTTAAAAGGTGTTGAAGTTTTTCAGGAGTTATTTATAATTTTTAAAATAGTACACCTATTATTTCAAATTTTTTTTATCGATATACGAGCACTTTTCAGCATTCCATAAGCTGTATTGAAATTTATAGTGATGGCTTAATTTACGTAAAACATTATTATTGATGTACGTACTATCTTTATCATCTCATATTTCTTGCGACAGTTGCAACAATTCTAACAGATAGTTACATTTACTGTCATTTTGGAGAGACACTTTACTAAATTAATAGTAAAGTTGAATAATAGTTATTGCTTCCATGCAACTAAGATTATTGGCTGTATTGTAAAAACATTTTACAACATATGCGTAGAATGTTTACGTACATGTTTGAAATATTTAAAACATTCGGATTAGCTACAATGTCTATGTCTAAATACTCAAAGAAAAAAGAAATAAATTACCAATCTCTTTTTTCATACTCGTATAGAGGTATGACATATAACATAATACTCATTTTTATTTTGATCATTGCTGGAACCTTTAAAGTTTACGAATGTGTAAATAAATTGCAAGATGATTCCAAAATGAGTTTAGCTATTGATGTTTTTGGTAATTTTATTATTTATGCAGTGTCTATAGTTGTATTAATCAAGTATGTCACAAGTCAGCGTTTAGCCGTCAAGATTGGTAACGAGTTGTACTTTGGTGATTTAATTTTAAAAAAGTTTGATAATCTTTATAAAGAGAAGACTCTATTTACTCACTATGCATTAATTTTAATATTCGATTTTGCTATTTGGTTATGTGTTATTATCGTTGGCCTATTTTGTGATATAACGATGTTTGAAAGTATTTTAACTCACATACCTAATTTTATCATAAGTTGCTTAGTAATTCAATATGTTTTTATTATTACTCTTATACGTGGCATGGCTACTACCGTAAACAATCAACTGAAGAAATATATTAGTTGTATATCTTCTAGAGCTGTACTTCAAAAATTTCAAAGAATTCCTACATCCGTAGCTTATTTATCCCAAATTGAACAAATAACAACACTACGTAAATTATGTCTTAGCCTGTATGATATTTCAGATGATGTTTCAAGATTTTATTCGATTCCTATATTAATATGCATCACAAAACTGTTTTTTTCTATTTTATTAAATACGTATTTTTTTATAAAACCTTCTATATTTGGAAAAAGTATAATTACTAATATGAATGAAGTCTGGTCCATATGTTGGTTATCACTGGACATGTTTTCTCTTCTTATCTTAACACGGTACATAACAATTACAGTAAACGAGGTATTATTTAAAAACTTGTATATTGTAATAGTTTTGCTGCGTCTCATAAGCAATCAATAATAATCAGACACTGGTTCACTTTTTAGGTGAAAAAAACGGGAGATATAGTACATCGAATTTTATACTCCTCGCTAGATAGTGAAGTTGAGAAACAGGTTTGCAAATTATTGTTGGTCTCAATAAATGTAAGACAAATAATAAATTTTAATTTTTAATTCTTATTTAATACATTTCAGTTAAGAAATTTATCATTTCACTTGCTCCATAAACAAATTCAATTTTCGGCTATGAATATGTTCTCTTTAGATTCAACGTTATTGCAGTCGGTAAGCTCTTCAATTTCATTGTAAAATACATACACAATAACATACAATAAATACATTCCAAACATCGGATTGTAGGTAATTGGTTCAATGACCACGTATTTAGTTATATTGATTCAATTTCAACGAGAAAACGGTACCTCTGAGAAAAATTTTAAGTCTTCAGTATGAAAATATATTTTCATACCTTTAACGGAGATAAAAATAAATTCGTTTGAAAACTTTACAAATATAAATAACCTTATTCAAGATTTACAAATCAGTATTCGAATAAAAAGTTTGCATAGATGGAAAAATCAGCAGTACTCTGGTACTTTTAGTTGATACGTTATTTTAGCATTAAAAACCATTTAATTATCTATTTGACATATGCATGTGCGATAAATTTCAATTCACTCGCTTGTAACTAAAAATTGTATCAAAATCAACAAATACGTGAAAATTCCTTTTGACATCTGTAAAGTTAGAACTTACTGTTACTTTGTTTTGTTTCGTTATAATTTTAATGTTTTGAATAATTAAACATTAAATCATACCGTTGTTAAAAGAGATGCATCCATGCGTATTCCTTTAGCAATATAAATATTAGTATGTAAGAGTTGCAATGAATACATATGAACCTAGAAAAAAATTTGATTTTGAATTTAAAGAACTTTTGTAAGGTAAACATTTCTTACTTCTTCTTTGAAGAGCTTGTCATCTGTATTTATTAAAATTTCATTGATGATTTTACGAGTTTTTGAATTTTCATTATTTGCATTATGACATGTCAAGGTAAGCAAAAGTAATTTTGAAGAAAAATAAATCACAACAGTGTAGTAATAAAAGAACCAATTTTCCATTTCTAAATTGTTCATTTTCTTGTGCCGTTTGTCTAAAATATAAAAATATAATCCAAACGTCAATTCAGTAAAAGTAATTATTACTGAGGCTATGATTTGTAAACTAAAAGTAGAATTCACTTTCCTAACAATTTCATTAAGTTCATAATGCCACTGTTTTAAATACCGCAACGTTAAAAATAACACAGGATTCATTCGATTGTGATAAACTCGTCTTAAAAGATGAGCTTGATCTGTTTTTAAGTTATTTTTTAACTTGATCAGTTCTTCATTAATGTGTTCAAAGCAAATACCCAAAATGTACACAAAATTATTATATTGAAGATCTAACATATAAATTGCTGTTGTACTATAAAATCCAACCAATTTCCGAATAATTTGAGGCACATCTCCTGACAAAATTTTTGGTACATGAACTATCAACAAGGTATAAACAATGAAATCTTTCGTATGTATCCATTTTGAAATTTTTGTAAATTTTTCACATGGAAGTTTTGTAGTAGTCGTAGCCAAATAATTAACTATTTTCATTACAGATGTCCCAAAAGTATAGTTACATATCAACATAAAATTCACTAGTATATAAAAACAATTATCTTGTAACATCCTCGTACATATCCTGTTTGAATAAATTGATGCATTTATGAAGTATAGAATCACCAAAGATATGCATATATAAATGAATGTAACTATTGTGCAATGTATAAATGCTGCTCTTGATTTTCTTATTCGAAAGTTTACTACGGTGTATGGGATCAACCCGTAAAGACGACAAACCAAGATGGACGGTTGCATTATACTTAAAAAATCATTGGCATAAAAAATTCGCCAGTTTTTCATCATTGACTGTTTGGTAAATTTAAATATCCCTGAGAAAATATTTTGTTTAATTTATACCAGTAATTATTTTTTCAAAATACTTACTACCAATAAATAATTTTATAAATTTTTTATTATTATTCTTAACGCTGCCTGTTTGTTCTTTCCCGGGAAAAACTTACTTTATATTCTGTTATATCTTTTTAAAACTTTATTACTTAGTAGCACTTTAATAAATTACTTGAAATGCTCGATATTGGATTAAATAAAAAAAGGATGTGCGCTTAAGTCAGCAGATTAATAAAATTAAATACTTTTTAGATAGTTGCGATAGACTTTTACTTTTAAGTGAATTAATTCATAATTTAAACACTACAATAAGAAAAATGTAGTTTAAATTTAAACTTGTTTGATCCAGAAAATTGTTTTATTATTGCAAAAAAATTTGTAAATAATATTATGTAAAAAATCGAATTTACCTAATTTCTTCTTACTCTTGCGCTTGAATATGAGTATTTCTGCAAAATAATGAAAAAATCTAAAAACCACTACACAAAAAAAACTTAATTAATCAAAGTAATATTTATCACGTATATTATTGTTCCAACTGCTTTAATTGTACAAGAAAATTTTTGTCTACAAGCTATAATTTATTTTGTGAAGTAAAAAGACTCACTCAAGAATAAAAGCCAGCTGATTTTAATTTAAATAATACTAAGGCTGCGTATACACGCTACAGACGCGACGGAATTTTGGTTGGCCAATCAGAGTAAAGCTCTCCGTATATATAGAAAGACTGTCCTGCCAAAGTTCTGTGGCGCAATTTTCCGCTCCATGTAACCGCAGCCTAAGTTAAAAAGAAATCAATAAATGCTCACAGATTTTAAGGTAGTTACAAAAAATTTTATGACTTAGTACTCGCTATTGTCTAATAGAATAGAGCAATTAATTTTTAAATTGATGATAACATGACGTAATAAATAAGACTTCAGAAGCTTGTATCAATAATATTTTATTACATTAATAATGTTTGCTCTAATCTATACACGAATATTTTTATTTACATCAATACAGTTTGGCGCCAGGAATATCAAACATTATTTTGCTATTTTCGCCGTATAAAATATAGTATTAACAATGCATGATGATAAAATTTGATAACTGACAACCAACCTATAATACTTCAATGACATCTAGCTTTATCCAGTTGCATAAGTTACAATTTGTAAAATACTGTATGTAGTGTAAATAAAAGTGTAGAAAAATAATAAAAAATTGCACTAAAATATTGTACTTGCAACGAATTTTTTTTCATGAAATTCACAAGCTTTAATCATTACTTGTTTGACGTATGATTACTTTCTAATCACAACCAAATAATACTAATACTTTTTAATGCCTCACGCATTTAAATTTTTTATGTAAATACAAAAAAATCATACGATAACTCTAATTAAACTTGACTTATTTTAGTTAATGCTTAACAAATTTATTACACGTTAAACTCAGTAAATATGGTGTTAGCACATCTTAAAAACAATGCTATATTTATGTATTCGTAGTTAAAGGAGTACAAAAATCTCACTGATTAAAGTTTTAATGTTAGTCTGATTTTCCAGCATTAAATTAATCATATCTATTAACATGAATGAATTAACGTAAAACTAATGTAAGTTAACTGATTTGCAAACATTCAAAAAAAAAGTAAGTAACATTTCTCATAATCGTAAATGCGTAATTTATTTGCCTGACAGATCAGTTAGCATTAGAAAATCTCTTTTCAAAATTTGAAATAATTTTACTGTAAGGAATTTCATATCATCTTTAACTTTTGTACAAGTGAGGTGATGTTTTTTTTTTTCAAGGATTTCAAAAGGAAGCACTTAGTTGGGGTTTCTTGATTTTTTTATAGTCGAATTCGATTTTTAATTCATTTTTTTATAACTATTAAAAACAAGTTTTACAAGTCTCAACATTATTAAAAATTTTTCTTATTATATTTTCCACATTACGTATCTATATGACTAGAAAGGCTACTAATCCATACATTTTGATGTGCGTCTTTGTGAAAAATGCAATAAAAATTTTCATACGTCATAATCATCATTAGTTGGTATTAAAAAACTTTTTTAATACTCAAACGATGAAAGTTTATCAAATAAATTTTTTTAATGCGCGTGATTATACAGATTACTAATTTAAAGTGTGATGCACAATGAGATCTCAATTTTTCATATTATGAGCTTAAATTATTTCGTACAAATCATGCACTTATTCTGGAGCCTCTTAATTATAAAACTTTCTCCGAAGACACGTTACGTAATTATACTTTCACCGTGCACACTAATATCATTGTGAAGTGAGGAAATGTTTTTGTTAATAATTTTAGCATATCTATGAAATAATGGAAATCATAAATATTCGATAAGTGATGACTGCTCTTTTTTATGCTCATATCATATTACGCTTTGCGCTTACGATTCGCTGTTTAGTACTAATGCGATGTTTAATTAATGTAATGACTTTTTAACATTTCACAGATCTTCCGATATTTTTTCACTTTACTACAAGTATACTTAAAACATGTACGATGCAAGTCAGTATACGATGCAAGTATAGTCCGTTTTAAAGTTTTCCTTATATTTTATTACATTATATCTTATTACACAATTTTCTTACACATTCAGACGGAAGTTTCGGCAGAAGAACCATTTGCCTTGAAAGGGCTAGTATCTTTCGATCGTATCAAGTTTACCTGTAATAAAAAAAACGAATACCTATACACCTAAAACATTATCGCTGTACTCCATAACTCAAACATATGTATCCGCATAATCAAGCTATAAAGCACGTAATAGAACACTAGAAAAAATTTAATTTGTCTGTTGATACTCAATAAAGTTTTTTAGAAAATATTTTAGACGCTCCTTATATAACCGGAAATGTCAATTTAAAAATGATAATGTGGATTTGATGCATCAGCATGAATAATATTTGTGATATGAGTTTCTTATTATTTTAGTTTTTTGTAGTTTCACACTGTCATTTGGTGCCATATATATGAACATTAATTTATAGCAACTACACATAAAAGCGAAGCAACATCAGTTTAACCCTTAATTAAGCACTTGAATTACAATACTTTGATTGGCATGTAAATTATCACTTATTTTTTGGCACTTCCATAAGTCCTTAGTTAAGGGTTAATTTTAATTCGCAAACGACCAGCACCGAGGCAAAATGCAAAAAATTCACATATACTTGTTTTGAAGCTAATTTAGAAGAAATAAACTTACATTAAATATTTTTTACTTGTTTTGATTGTATCTGAAAATATTTGTGCGTTTCAAATTTTTTGTAACTTATAATATCAATATGCGTTATTGAGGATCAGAGTTTGCTTGTAGCGCTATTAATGTTGTTAAAAAGTAATGGTCGAGGCATAATTTCAACAATACTCTCAACTTAAAATATTCATTCAGAAAGCTGAGACAAACACAATAACTATCACAATTACAGTACAATTTTTGAAAACAATGCTAACAATTAACAATGATATGGAGTATGAACTTTAAAAAATTCATTCAGAGGTTCAATAATGAGTCCATGATGTATAATCAAACAGTTCTAATAAAAGAAAAACAACTACATTAATCCAAAGTGACTGATTCGTGTAAGCTCCTGCTTTCATTTGTGTGAATTTTACTCACAGCTGTGTAACATTAGTTTATGTCGCATGCCCGTGTAATCGTGCTCTTGCCGTGTATTATTTATCTTGAAAGTAGTTGTAGTAGAAGAAGTTGTAGTGGTTGTGGTGATTAAAATTTAGAGTTGGTAATATTTTTCACCTTGATTGATATTCCACCGTCATCCTCATCTTCTTCTGTCATAGTGGTAAGTCTCGTTGTCTCGTCTGTTGATAGTACGGCATCTTTCTTCGAATTTTTTTTTTGTTTGCCTACACTATAATTTTCCGCTATTAGCCTATTTCATTTATTACGTATGATAATTTTCTTGGTGAACTTACTTGATCATCTTCTTAGGTTGCTGTTTGGACTTATCATTTCCTTCGTTGACCTGTTGCCAGATACCAGTTTTATTGACTTCCTCACTGATATTAATACTTGTCAAAGGAATTTTCATTATGTTTCCATTCGCCAAAGAAATTTGTAGGTTTCCAGAAGAAGCAAAGCCGATTGATTCGTGATCCTAAAGAATTAGCCAGAAAAGGCAATGCTCGTTTAATAGAGCATTTAAACAATGAAATCATTAAAAAGCAATAATAATCCATGCATTGTCAAATGACGATTAAGATGGACTGCGAGATTCGATGCCAGTACACGTACTACAGGTAGGTAGGTTGGTGCTTTTTTGATATAACGTACCGATGATGGACAGTAGGAATATTGGTCGACTATCATAGTGCATGTTCATCTCATGGTGATGTAGTCTTTAAACTCCTCACTTTAACTATTTAATGATGGAAGTGCACATATTTCTTGCACGCATGTATTCAGTAGAATATTCATGAATGTGACGAAGATAACTTTTTAACTACTTTTATGTTTAATGAAAATAAAGCAGCATTACAGCGATAACTAAATCTATTCGCCTATTTCAGGCTTAAAAGTTTTTAATAAAAAAATAATTCATACCTCAAAAATAAAATCCAGACATAGAAGGTGAATTGGTGAGAACAAATATTGCTCAAAATTTGAGAAATTAAAGGAAAAAGTGTGTTTTAAAAGAAGAATCAAGCTAACTCTGGGTTCGTAGTGTTTTTTCAAATATTTTTAAGATGTGGAAAAAAAACGTTAAATTCCAAGTACGACATAGTAATTCTATAATTTAGCTTGATTCTTTTATTAACAACAATTTAAGGAAAAAAGGTGCTACAAACTTTTAAGGAACTGACATCGAAAAATATATATATTGGGTGATCAAATTTATAGTGTATTTACATGAAAAAAGAGCACTAACATGTAAAAATACTTGTGTATTGATGTGTATAATATTGGCGAATGACACATTGTAATGTAATCGGTTGGCTCACTTGCATACCAAAATTATTATTTTGTTGAACTAATGATGATGTTTGTAATCTCAAAGTGTATTATCATATTGCACGTTAAGGTTCATTCTCCATGACAGTCTCGCGTTTTGATTTAAATGTAATATTTATCATATGATGTAGAGATCACGTGCTATTATTTTTATTTTATCAAAATTCCCCATAGCAGCGCTAGTTTATAAAATCTTAGATCATAAAAAACGGCACGTATGTATTAAAGTTGGATTTACAAAATCTCGTTGTAAAATCTTCAGTAAAAATTATCTGAACGTTGTTTCGTTTATAACGCAAAACTGTCTATTTTTCGATCCCTCACAATTAATTTTCGGCCACGTTATTGAAAATATTAATTTACTTTACCATCGAAAATTTTAATCTATAAATATATTGATTCAAGGCCGAAAACATTTTACAAGGGATTTCATAAGTAGTAAATGTGTGTGTTTACTTATTTTAAACAGTATTTGTCATTGGCACAATACAAAGATAATCATCTGCGCGAGCCATGGCTACACTCAAATTATTTACGATCAGAATTCGTAACAATTCTTTTAATACTGATTCTGTATCATAGAATTTTTTTCTGTACTGGGCAAAAAAATTTTGTCCAGTACAGTTAGCACAATTTATTACCTATTTTTTATAATTACATTAACAAATCCACTGCAATGGTTTACTTATCATTTTCTATCTGACAAAAAAAATTATGATATTTCTTCGTGCTCATTAATAGGCCAGTCGTGGTGGAAAAAAAAAAAATTAATGAAACGCATGTAAAATTAAATACAACATAAAAATCATATGATTAACAAAAATAAGTTTTCTAAATTAAGTGTTCCCACCATAAAGCGTGGTATTTTTGTGGTCGCAAAGAGCTAAAGTGACCACAGGACATGAAGGCCTGGGATCACTGCTCATGTGCTATTTACAAGTAATTGCTCTTAATATTTTAGTCGCAGTGCTAACCTCGCCATTCTCCAATTGGAGAAGGTCTTCGGCATGTTTTTTATGTGGCTCGGGCATTACGTCATCTAAAATCTTCAGTTCTCGCTGTGTAAAGACTAAATCAAGTAATTTTCTTATACCAATCATTACGACCAACTGTAAAATACGCAAATTTTTCATGAATCGTAAATGGATATCTTATTAATTTTTTATAGTGTTTACACTTACCATTAATGGAAAAAGAATAGATGTGCTGCTGAATGACTTAATGACCCAAAGACATATAAGGCAGGTGAGTTGTATAAAAGTAAACATGTGTACTCGTTTTATAGGTACCTGTAAAGAAAAAAAAATCAAACAAAGGTTGAAAACATGTAAATAAGTAGTGAAACTTGAGCTGTAAGAGTATTTGATATACTTTACCTGCCGAAGAAACATGTAATCTGGCTGATATTTTGCTGGCATGAAGGTAATAAGGATTCTGTCGAAAAATTGTAGCCCTTTTAATGACGCTACACCCATGTACAGAAATACACCAAACAGCACGGGCATTGGTATATGGCTTAACATCGGAGTTAGCAAAACTGAACAGCCGATCATTAAAAAAATCAATATGTGAGTCACTCTCTGCTCACGTACACCTAAAAACTGTGGTTTTTCACCCGGAGCCGCACATTCAGATTCTAATTTCAACGAATTCACGTGGTTGATAGAAAGTACTGTAGCAGCCACGAACCAAGGAAGGCCCATTATAGAACATATTTCTATAAGGATGGCCAAAACAAAGAGGTCTAAATGATAGCCGCAACCTTTCTGTAAGGATGAAAAAACGTTTATCATTTGATCGATCACTGACGTTAACTATACTTCATTCATACGAACTTTTAATTTATTTTCTTTCCTGTTTACAATGACGGCTGTAATTTGTTGATCCATAAATATTAATATAGTTCCTAATACAGCTGGCAAAGAAGCTATGACCGCACTCCACCACGGATTTTCGTTAAATGGCCATATAATCCAGCCTCGCCCTTCTAAAGTTGGCTTGAACTCAACGGGCACTTCTAATTTTGGTGTACCAATGCCGACAAAATAGTCCAAAGCCGACATTGAAAAAATAGCTATTATAACTGCAAAATCACTAAACACTTGTCGCACCTAAAACAATTACGTTTTACAATCATCACATTTATTATTACCAAATAAAAACGTAATCGTATATTACCTTTGAGGGAAAGAAAAGAGCATTTTTAAAATCTTTTAATTGCACCGAAATCAAGAAAGTACCTATGAAAAGAATAATTGACATCAGGAACACATCGGGTACGTATTGAGCTGTATTACATCCGTCTCCTACTAATGTGCCATTGTAATTCTTGAAAAAAAAGAAAAAAAAAACGATTAAAAGGAAAAAATTTATCAATAAGTTATAATTTGAGAATAGGCCAAATGCGCTGATTCTCGAAATTTCTTAAGCATATTTACCTGACATGCTACTTTATCCAATGCAGTCCAATTGACACTTTGAGTCGGAGGAAACAGGTTGAAGTTATTGTATGTATTATTTGGAGGTTTACACATGCATTCGTAACTTAAATTTTCGCCAACATGGGTGTGCATAGGGAATTTTTTTCCTATAGATAAGACGTTTTCTATTGCCTAAAAATTTAATTACGTAAATTTTATTAAAAATGTAATGAAGTAGAGTTTGAAAATAAAAACTCCAACCTTATAAATGAAAATGAAAGCTATCAATGTAGCAAAATTTTCTTCAGTAAATCTTGTTATATAACAAACGAATGCACTTGCATCAATAGCTACAAGAACTATTAAAATAAAAGCAATCCATGAACCGATCCAAAACCGAAACGACATGTAATTCCAACTTAATTTCCTATAAGAAATACAAAGACACGTTAAAGCATGAAAGTAACGGTGGATAAGCATCTAAATAAACAATTTACAATTAAACTTACTTGCAAAATTCAAAAACAATCGTCTCGAAAACGAGCACTGGTCCTGTGGAACCTAATATAGTGAGCGGTTGTCCAGAAAAAAAGCCATACCCAATACCGCATACGAATCCAGAAACAAGAGATTCCATAGCAGCCATGTTTTTGCCAGTGGCTTCGCTGAGAAGGCCACCAAATGTAATGATAGGTGAGAGACAGGCAAAGTAGAGAAAAATGAATGAGGCCACGCATTGAATTGCCAAGGCATCTTTGAAATCAGAGATATAAAATGGAGCTTTTCGTTTAATATCGTTTATCAATCCGCCAAAAAGCTTGCCGGTCCTGGAAAGCCCAGACTCTTCTCGTAGTTTTTGTTCATCTGCCTCCTCGTCGATGTCTTCTTTCAATTTTTCTTCCTTTGGTCTTTTCCTGGTATCCTAGATATAAAAATTTTACTTTCAAACTGACTGCACTTGAGATGATTTAGGTTAAACGTTAAAAAGTGTACGTACTTGAGAAGGAATTGCAGCAGGTGGTTCTATTCTAATAGTTGGGTCCCACTCACCCGGGGGTAGGACAGTGACCGCATCGAGAAATTCATCTATTCCGGCTAATAAATGGTTTCTGTTTTTAGCTTTGTAAGCTACATCATGGAAGACCTCATCTGACATCAAAGTTGCCATAGCTCGTCCTATTTCGTGAAAATTTGAAATGCCACCCTGTAAATTTGTTTCAAAATCAGAGTAATTTTTTTCTTCTGTTGATAAATTAGATTTTTTACTATTTTTACGTAAAATTTTGAATTACGTACCGTTGGACCTAATAATACAAAAATGAATCTCGTGGGTACGGGCACCTCTGTTAGATCGCCCATAATACTCGCTTGACTAAGACGGATGAAGGCAGATATGGTTTTATCCAGAAAATCGACTTCTCCAACCAAAATATTACTCGCCTCAGCTCCGGCAGGTATTTTTCGCATAAAGTGTGTATTACCCTAAAATGTGTGTTACTTAAAAAACAAAAAAATAATGTACTTCGCAAAACTTGCAATACGTTTTTTAAATTACCAACCCTGTGATTCGAGTCTCCATTTTCCAACGCACTCGCACTATGATTCCTACTAATGGAAATACTGCTAGGACTCCGATCCATACCCATCTGTCCAGTTTCTTGACCTGAAAAATAACTAGCTTACTGCCTACCGCATTTTGAGCTTAAGCTGTATTACCGCGTACAAAATTTTATTTTGCTTCTATTGACAAATAGAATTTCGAAGCTTGTGAAGCCCTTTACCTATAATTAAACATGCAATGTAGCCAATAATATGGTAATGACCTGCACCTCGGTACAGCCAAGCTTAAGCATGCTACATGCTTTTAGTAACGATTTCCAACATTCATGAAATGTTTCTTAAAATTTTTTACCCATTCATTTTTTTCTAAATTTAATAAGCTGGTTGAAGCACGACATAAATTTTCTCTTTATTCTTAATGCTTAAAATTTAAAGGCCGTGAAAGTTTTCAATCTACTAAACAATAGTTTTAACTCCCTTAATGAAGTTACTATTTAACTAAATGAATTAATCACATTTGTTCTTATTATTTGAATGATTTTTGTAACCACTTTGCACACTGTCATGCACCCTTTGACATAATTTCTAATAAAATAAAAAATATTTGTGATAATAAATTAAAAAAATATATTTCTAATGATTTTCCAAATGAGTTGATGAAACTTTTTTGTCGTACTTCAAACCGGTATGCATTATACAAGTACAGGCGGGTGTATTTTGAAATAACCTTTTTTTGGGATTTGCGATGTTTGGAGAGCTAAGTACTAATCTAGCAGGGTTCGATATAAATGGCAAGCCTTATAAGTTCGAATTACCAGGGTTACCGGGTATCGTTAAAAAGCGGCCACTTGGATTCAGTCCTGCACCACCACCACCACCCTGACCCATTGAGGCAGCGATAGCCGGTGCAGAATTTGATTCTTCCACTATAAAGTACCAAATACATAATGGCTAACGTATTTCTTGTCTACCACGGTCAGTAGGTTCTCGCGTCTGAAGGTATGTTAAATTAAGCCAAAATTATTTATACTCATTTTTTATAATCAATTACTTTTTTAACAACAAACTTGTCTTGGACATTGTAAAAATATTAGCATTAAGTAATTTTTTAATGTCGTGCATTATGATATCTTTGGATTAGTTAAAATATCCTACAATAAATTAAATTAAACGTTTTGAAAAAAAATCGTAATTTACAAATAGTGACAGTATGATGCTCGATATACGATTGTGTGAATGTGTTCTGTACAAATAAATCATGATGATATTTGCATCGACTGCAAAAGAGACTCTAACATTACCCATATAGAAAAATATTACAATTACGTACAATAATGGAAAACATCATGCTCAGTGACATCATTTAAAAGGTACCATTAAATGTGCATAATTCAGTCACATCTTTATAAAGTCAGTTGAGAAATACGCAATATGCCTTCAATACATGTTTGATGGTGGAAACTATCAAGGTCTGAATTATAAAAATTTTTTGCTTTTTCACAAATCGTTTTAAATTAAGAAACAATGCTAACTTCCGATAAAACGTTTTTGATTAGGTGAAGTGGACATCAAAGAGGTTGCTCGGATAATCAAGAAGTCCTAGGTTTAATTCTTGATATTTTCCTTATTACGATAAGGTCAAGCAGATAAAAAAGTTTCCAGCCGATATTCAATACTATAATACAAAACGTTGATTAAAATTATTTTACGTAATTTAACATGGTAATGTGGTATGGTAATATAAATTGAAACATTAGTAATAAATCATTTATAATTATGTTTCACAAAGTTGACGACTATAAATAATGATAATATGAAGATGATAATGATGACAGTGAAGATAAAAAAGGAGTTTATTACAGTTTGCTAACTAAACATGAAAAGAAGACAATATAATATAACTTGATTGAAGAAAAATCAGGTGTGCAACTTCAAAATTTCAGTTTTTAAAACGTAGGTAGACAAACACCAAAGAAGAAGAAGGAGATAAAGAAAGTGGCTTACAATAACTTATAGATTTTCTCATTTCCAAGAGTTTTTACAATCCTAACCTTTTAGCGGACACATTGCGAACCAGGTTGTAAAACCCACCACGTAGGGAATCCCATAATCATCTATCAAAACAGTATTAAAAAATGAATCGTTTATAGTTTGATAATGATTTTAGTTTTAGCGTTCTTATTATAATTTTCAGTTAAAACAAATGATTGAATTACTCAAACGAAGCTTTTCGATGTGTCCTGTTCCCAGGTAATTTTCGCAAAAATTTCAAATCAACACTTTAATAGCCTCAAGTTACACAGTAATTTATCTATTTTTTAAACAGGATAATTTTTTGAAGCATTGGTTATACAGAAACAGCTGTTAGTGCTTACTTTACTAAATTAGTAATCTATCTACTTTATGAGCTTATTATTGGCGATTAAAGCATTTTTAAATACAATGTATGCTTATACCATCCATATTGCGAGCATATTTGTGGAGTAACAGTACTGTAAGTGAAACTCGTTCATAAATGTTCCAAATTTTTTGTGAAAATATTCCTCAAGTCACGCTCGCAATATGAAGAAATTTCGAAACTGTGAATGAATTTGACTGGGAAGTCATGTAGCGCAGATAAGCTGTCGAAGTTAGTCGAGGAAGGCCTTTAAAATTAGCAACTGGCCTAAATATACCTGGAACCAAGAGATAAGGGCCTTTAAGGTCTTTTGCCTCTTTGGAGAGTAGGGCAGTATTTGAATTGGGACAGCTCGTGCTCCGAGCAACGGCAGGAGCATAAGCGTCTCCATTGTCACGTCGATCCTGGAAATCTGATGTCAACAAGGCATGCATACCACATGTACAGTCACAATCTGCAAAGGTTTGGGAATCGCATGTGTTTTAGGTGTTGTGTAAAGTATTGTGTTTTTTAAAAAATAAATAAAAATACTTCCATTGCTAATTACAACGGAATTAAATTAAAATCTTAAATAAATAAAATTATAAACTAAAGTAAACCATAAAAATAAAATATCTAATTAAACTTATAGAAAATCATGAAATGAAATAAAATCAAACATAAAAGGAAAATAATAACAGTAGAATATAATGTGGAAAATGTAACTGTCTCTGGGAATCCCTCGAGTTTCGTTCTTGTACTTCATGTTGGAATCGTTCATCCGAAGTTGGAGTATTGAGTTATAAATTGTAAACATAAGTTGTTTCGTTAAAGTAGACACTTGACTTGGCAGTGACAGTAATAATAATTATATTTGTGGACAACCTAAATGAAAACTTACTCTTCGATGACGAATGGTTGCGTCCAATTTCAGCCAGTGATCGTATGATTGGTAGTTTGGACATGTTGTTATCCTTGCGTCTCTCAAATTGATGTCGATGCCGAACCAACAGGGCTTCTCGTACCTTTATCAAATGAAATAATGAATTTTCACGTATGTCTGAGAAGAAAAAAATTATTGATAAATTCAGTTGCCAATGTAAACTGACTTTGTCTTTGACGTCGACAGAGAGGACATTTTTGTTGATCATATTGTCGAGAACGAGGTCCGTGATTTGTTCCAGGCCGCTTGCCTCCATGTCCAGCATGACCGTACCGTTCAGCAACAAACTTCTCAGCTCAAAGAGCGAGTGCAGTGATAAAGTGGCTACGTGAGGTTTGCTCCAACGGTTCCCCCCTTCCTCGACGTCCTCCTCAAACTTAATCCATCTGCAAATGAATGCTCATCACAAAAGGGAACGAAACCAATTGAACGTGGATATTATTTGGAAAACTCGCTAAAATAAAGTAACCTGGCGGTTTCCTTCCACTCCATCTCGTCCCCGTCTTTGACGAGTTCCTCCATCTCGGAAAAGAGAGGATGTGACTCGTGCGCGTCGTCTCCGACATCTTCCCCCAGAATAAACTGAACTCTCTGAGCGGGAGGCGTGACTGCAAGAGAATCATTCGAGACTCGATTGTATAAGCGAATTAAAACTACTTGAACGAGAAAATATATTTCAAGTAACGTTCTTAAAAAATTGAAATACAAAAATTATATCGTTAAGATAGAGCGAACAGATGACACAAAATAAGAATGTTTATGTTCCTCAGTCAATGCTGCATTGAAAAAAAAAAAAAAAAGAAAAAAAAAATTAACAAATAACGTAATAATTGCTGCTTGATGGCACCAGTGGCCTGTGCATGTAAATACTGGATACATCTAACAAAGAGAAAGTTGCGTTGTCATGCACTAAGAAATATACTTACGAGGTATAAATACTTCGGGATTATTGCAACCATATACTTATGAAAAATGAGAATCAATGTGTACTACTTTGCGAACGCCCAAGGTGTTGACATGCATTGTAAGGATAGTTAGTCAAAGCGAAGCATGCGACGAAAAGCTGTGAGTAGGTGCGTACGTCCATCAACAACAAAACTATGGAAATTCGTGCTCGCGCTGATTACATCAGTGCGTCGAGTGTGGCTTACATATAAATTCATTGTCAAGATCGCAGATACTCGCAAGCCGACCCCTGCGCGCCATCAGCAATTGCCCTGTAATGCCAACGAGAAACACACGATATTGATAAGGTTACGCTGTGAAAACTAGGTGCATGCACGCTTGTACTTAAAAACTACAGCACTAATGAAAGACCCCTTTCTTCGTCCAGTTCCCGATTTTCCCATTTCCGATTGAAAAGCTCGTGTCGTTGCTTCTCCAGTCTCTTATTGATTCGCGAGAAGGTACCATTGCAGAGCGAGCTGTTGCGATGGTATCACGAAATTGTATCCCCCTCATGTGTTTGCTAGTCTACACTACTCTTTATCTAGTATGAATTTCCTCGTCTCGACTCGGCATGCGGCAATTAATTTATATAATACGTTGTGATGAAAAGCTATAATCTACGAGCTTGGGCTAATTTTTCTCGGCGTAGCTACTTGGAGTGATGGTTCGCGAGATTATTTACAAAACAGGAGGGGGTCTCGAAGCGAGCGTTTTCCGGACTGGCAAGCGCCATCGTTTACTCGAGCGAAAAATTAATCCAACGGCTCGCTAAAAGGTCAACGGGGAGAAAGATAATCTATTTCGAGCGACTAAAGCAGGTTTACATGGCAAAGTAATCACGTCGTTGTTTCTTCACAAATGCGACTCGATTGAAAAGAGTTGATTGCTTTTTCAGGGTAACCCGGGCTCTGACCGGCACCATCCTCAACAGGTTATCAATACTTCAAGCTGTAATTGCAGCTTCCCATTTCAATTTTCCAGCTCACGTGCACTGAGCACTGCCTTCGAGGTGAACGGCCTCATTTTCGAGTCTTATAGCAAGTGGTTGGCTCGCTGCCACGTACTTTTGTGTGCAGTTTCTTGCAATCGCGTACATATATTATGTACACATACGCCCGTAGATGGCGGTCATTGATCGGGACGAACGCGTAGATTTTATATTACTCCATTCAAAACAGCGATTCAGTGTTATTACGGCAAAGCCAAATAGTTCAAACTGGGTATAGAGTATAAATCAATCGGTCGTTGGTTCTGAATTTAACTACCACCCGACGCGAAAAGTCGAAAGCGATTACCATTCCCAGGTTTAAAAACGCACATGAATCGGCCGTAAATCGCGAATCGTTGGACGCGAGTGTCTCTGCCTCCCGCGAAAATAGTACCAGAGTGGAAGGACACAAGGAAGTGGCGAAAGAAATAAAAATCAAAAGTAAAGTAACGTACAATAATAACGGCAACACTGGCGATATATTGAGATACTCACTGGGTCGGTCGCCCTCGGAGCCGTCCTCCTTGCCGTAGCCATTGCCACCGCGCGAGTGGTGGTGCTTATGGTGTCGTCTATGCCTGCGCTCGCCAGGCAAATGAACACCCACGTAGACGGTGTGCGCTCGGTGACCTAAAAACCAAGGGAATGAAGGAGTACCACCCTACCCCTGCTGGTACAACTTGGGGTGCGTATCCGACGTGTACAACGCGTTGGAGGATTCGGTCTCGATTTGATTTTACAAGTCCGAACTACCAGCTCGTTTGTCATTTTTCCCGTCGGCCGTCGAAGACCGCTTGATAAATATACCGTTTCATTCTTTCTGTCTACCTTTTTTTTTCGATAGAGGAGTGGAAAGATCCTTCCACGTATACAGCCAGATGTTTTGTACTCGTTCGTTTTACGATTTGATTGATTAATGTATCGGTCGTAAGATCGTAGTTGTTAAATGTGTTTGTCGAACACTTCTTTTTGGGTTATTCGGTAAGATTGATTTAATGAAAAAACAAGTAGCAGCATTGATTCAAGTCATTAAACTTTTTTATCGAATCAACAGAGAAAAAACTATAATTGTTGTATTTATAAATTATAATTGTCTTTTAAGAAAAAACGGACAAACGCTAATTTTTTACTATTAATGGTAATAATGTACAAGATTGAAATATTTCAAGCTACTGTTTGGAATTAATTTTTAATATTTTTTACTAATTTTTTTTCAATCGTAAGAAGGTGTGAATTTTTTATAATTTTGAGGCCTTAAAAAGGTCCAAAGGTTTTCCGTTTCGAGGTATCCAGTTTATCTCGTCTCCACAAACTATTAGCGTAGCAAAACTAAAATTTTTTCTTCAGAGATCTGAAATTACCATCTTGAATAAAACTTGCATGAAAACGAAGCTATTTGTAGACAAATGCATAAAAATAGATACCATTCGTGCCCCCCCCCCCTCTTGTTGCACTTCTAAACCATACGATCTACGTGAGGTTACACCATTGCTCCAAGAAAATTACGAAGTACTCGTATCTAAAAAACAAACCTCAATGGGTGTCCTGAATCGTAAGCTTTTGTCATCAGAACGACAAAATTTGGGTAGCAAAATTTCTCCACCACCCACACAATCTAGAGCCAATAATCGCCTTACTCTATCCAATACTTGCCCTTTTGGCAGCGAGAGGCAAGAGAATAAATTTTATTCAAATACCACATCAGTTAAAAATCGCACACATTGATTCTGTAAAACGCAAAGGCCACAACGAGTAGCACATTTGTTCGATCGTGACCAAAGTAAAGGACAACATATGCGCGGTAACATAAGTAAAGGCGAGCTAGAGGTGGTGAAAAATATTTAAAGCTAAGCTGACGTGCGGGGAAACAGACTGAAAGTGAAAAAAAGGATGTATTGTACATGTATAAGTACATTTACGGACGTTGGGGAATGGGGAGTGAGTTATCGTTGCGGGACTGCAAGAAGGAGAGCGTAAGTAAATCAAAGTCACGGCTGCCCCTCTCACTCTCTCTCTCATTCGAGCTGACGAAGAAGCCGAGAATAAGTGGAAGAGAAACTAGTGCTCTTGTAAATGCAGCCTATCGATTTACCTCGATTTTTCTATCCACTTTTGCCACTGCAACCTCTCTACTTATCTCTCGTCGTCCGCGGCACACGGCTTTGAGCACAGCTCGCGCATCAACGGGATGAAGCAAGAAAGAGAGAGAGGACTCGATCCGCCCTTCGGTGTCATAATGAAGCGTACAGTCTGATATGACGGAGTTGCGTGGCGTGACGAGCCTAACGATTTTTGAAGCACTTCTTTCTTTATATCGCGGACTCGGCCACGCGTGCACTCCTATACACGCAGAAGCCAGATTCGTGAGACCGACCTATATACCTGTAAGGACGTGCGCCCCCCCCCCTTCTCCTCAACTCGATCTATCTCCCACCGGCACGTTGTCTTTCTTCCGGACCAATAAATGTCACTCGAGCAAAAAGTCCATCCCGCGATTAGGTCGACTGCGTTTACTGACTCTATTTCACCCGACACTCGCCGCTCGTCTTCCAGATTGACCCGCACAAACACCAGTCGATCCTTTTTTTGTTTATTTGCGAAATTTCATGCGATGCTTTCGTTAGTAGGTTTCTCGTTAGAGTCGAAGAGACAGTTAGTTCAGCGAAAAAGTTTTGAACTCGTGTTATTTTTAAATGCAAAAGGCACGAGGTGACAGTTAGTCGTTGGTATAGTCACGATGAGGCTTGTTAGTCTTTAATTGGTCGAGTTTCAGCAACAGAGATAATGCAGGGGCACACAATAAAGTTCCCATTACCTTCAAAGTCCTTCTCGGTGTACTGATGGGACTGGTGAGTGATGCGAGCCCCCGGATCTTTGGGAGCTTCATCGTCCCCCGTTCCGCCACCCCCTTGGCCGGTAGGTTGTTGGTGGTGGGCCCCGCCACCTCCGCTCCCTGCGCCCGGCTGCATCCACGGTCTGAAATACGAAATATGAAAAAACATTTACAAACAGTCAGGGCTTATATATATAATATACACCCTTGATTAACAGAGTCGCGGCCGATGCGCCTCTGGGCCTACGAGTGCAAACAACACCCCGGGGCTACTTATGAAAGCAAATGATTGATCATCTCTACGATTTCGGACGGTTCCACTCGAGGCAGCCAATCCCTGGGTTTTTGTTTCCACCCGATCTACCGGAGTTTCAATTAAAATTCAAGTCGAAGACCGTCCGGCCAACAGTGGGGAGCTCTGGCGAGAGTTTGGTAATCGAGCTGGGCTCTACTGCCAACTTTTCCGCGCCAACGGTCGGAACGCAGTCGTCCACCTCGCTTCTTCGAAAAGGAGGAAAAGTAGAGTATCTCTCGGCTCACGAGCTTGAAGCTGCGAAGGTAGTAGCGGAGGATAATGGACAAATTCGAGACTTTGTGCGCGCTGGACGGAAACGCCGGGGTGCCGTGCTGTGGTTTCGCAATTGGTGCGACGGTTAGAGAAATGTGGCAGATGACGAGAATTTCGACGCCTTAATGCGCCGGCCATGGCTTCTCCGCTTTGATGAATTGCAGCGGCTGGCTGATGCGAGGCTGTACGCGCGATTACGCGGCTGCGTTTACCCGCAAGGTGACGACTCTTGATCGTGACCTCGTTTGTTCCGACTGGCACGGGCTATTGTTCGGCAACTTGTCAATTACCCAAAAAGATATCTCTCTGTTACACTTGCAACTTGGTCACAGGGAGAAAAGGAATCAAGTTTTTTTTGTTTTGTGACAATGCGCAAGGAGAAAGTGGGTCGGCTCCGAGAACAAGGTGCAATTTATTGGCGTTTGATTTTATATTTTACGTGGACTTACTTTTCGCGGAAACCTCGGGTAGAGTGGAAAGAGTTTCCAAAGTTTTATCACGGGAACTTTGTTCGCAACTGTTTGCCCTTGCGATTCGACTGATGATTGATCAACTTCGATTGTAGGAGACGTTGGATTTTTCAGTAATTTGTCTAAAAAAAATGACAATGCCGATGATTTTGATGCACGAGGCAAAGTAGCGAAAGAATAGGTACGCACTAAACGAGAGATAATTCAATTTAAGTGCAATTTCGTGTTGCAAGCTGTATTAGTCTGCTCGTGTCGGCTGCAAAGTAAATGTAGAGCATCTACGCAGCGCTAAATTTTTTTTCGGAAAACTTTAAATGGGTAAATTCAATCATTAAGTATACTTATAATATTATAATCAAGAGACACGAGGATCAAATAATTTTGCACGCTTTTGATGTAACCATTAAAAAAATCGAAAACTTTATTGGAAAAAAAAAAAAAAAAAAAAAAAAAAAAAAAAAAAAAAAAACATGTACGCGTTACGTAACCAAACGACTACGAGAAAGAAATGAAATAACGTTTTAAAAAATCGAACGGAAGAGTATTCAAAAGATCCACTCCAAATTCAAAGTTTCGTTGTGTGTCTCGTGTTGCATTCGTCAAGGTAATCGATGCAGCGACTCGGCTCATTAGCGCCCGATATTTTTCCCGGAGCTTAGCAAAAAAAGGTTGGTCGCGCAAAACTGATGGTGTACATTATGTGGTCAAAGCACTTAGCTCCATTTAGACGAAGCGCCTTCGCGCCGTAGGATTGTAAAACCGAATCCGCTTAAAAATGGCCGTACGGATGAAATTAAACGCGTGATTCAATCGGCCGACGTGTCTTCACTCGGGAGTTGTAAAATCACTCAATCAAGGATGATGTTTGGACTGTACCGAGCGTAAACACAACCAGTGATTATAAGCTATAGCATGTAGTAACTGGGTCAAGAATTGAAAAAGCACGTGGTGCACAATGCCGGTAATTTTGCCATCGCATCTTTTTAGATTACAGCTCCATCCGCTCTTAATTTTTATCCTCCATGCAAAGTTCATCAATATTAATCCCGGACAGAAGGACGTGCCTTTTTTTTTTTTTTTTCTTTTCCGTTCCCAAGTGACCGGGATAATATAGCTCGCCAATAATGACACGTGCGCGCATAATGATGCGGCGAGTCGAGCATCTGGTTTGCACTTGACTCCACATGCAAGAAACTAAAATATACAAACTTTTGTTTCCACTCGTTGCGCGATAAAGATCTTTCAAAGGCCCGATTTTTACGTCAGCGCGATATAACAGGTGAGGGGAATAATAATTCAAATTCCGTCTCGTCGGCAAGGCCGATGAGGTTTCAAAGTATTGTTTTATGTTCGATCGTTTCTGACGTGTCGCCGTGATTATTTTTTTCCTTTGCGACTGTCGGTAGGTATATTGGAAAGAGGCAATCCTCACCGGCCTTCGACCGAGACGACTAATGAATGCGAATTGTAATTTTACGATATCCATCCACGAATCTGGCATACGTGCGGTAAACAGTTGGATTTAAATGACAATTTTATGTGCTCGTCACTTTGCTCGCAATTACAGATCAGCGAGGGGGGGGGGGAGAGAAAACAAAATTCACGCTGACAGCTCAATGCGAGTGTTTTGCCTATACTGTTTTGCAATCCGATAAACGCTTTGCACCTCCTTCTCTGGCCTTTTCTACTGTGCGTGCGCGTGTATACGGAGTATCCGTATATTGCGCAATAGTGCAAGCTTGTTACCGATGCGTCAACAAAAACTCGGCTATTATGAATGATATAGTATTACGAGACGACAATCATGCCGCACGCGTTGCGTCACTGTAATTGCCATACGGTGCTACGTGGTTTTAAAATTCGTCGCGATTATTTTGGCTTCGCGTAGCGTATCTCTCTCGGATAATTGATCATTTCGAAAATGAGCAGACATTGCCGTTGGTTGGTTTTCTCCGGCGAAAAAAACGAAACGAAACCCGTCTCGCCGAGTCACTCCGACAAAATCTAGCGGCAAGGAAAACCCACGCGATGCCACGGAAGAGCTGAAATTATTCTTCATTATTTACATGCAAACTTTGTTTGACAAACAATAGACGGAAACTCAACGTTTTCTTCATTGTTATTATTATTATTTTTTTTTTTTCAATTCAATTAATCCACTTCGTAACGAGTACTCCGAACTAATGTTGTCCAACAATGATAATCAACGATTTTGCCAATACAGTGTGTATCGAACAGTAATGTAAATAATAAGAGGAGGGCACACGCCAAAAATGTGTGTTGTCTAATGTCAAGAGCGCCAGTGTGTATTGACTGGCCAAGCTATTACGCGTCGTCAAGTGGATAATTATCCTGCGACGATTATCCATACGTGAAGCTTTTTCGTACTGAATGGAAGCCGTTGTCCATCTAATGAAATAGACGGTAGGGGGCGTACACATACACACACGGGAACATAGTACCAGCGACTCTGCTTATTTATGTACACATGTATAGGTAACTTGATGCACTGCGGGTTGTCTCTTACACACGCACGCATGTAAACGCTATCGAGCGATCAAGTGGCGGGACGCTCGCCTGCACTTAGCGATTGCACTCCCCCGCTCGGGTGAGTACTCTGGAGAAATCAAGACTAATCGCGCATCAAGTGCGGTGGCTCAGATTTTCATAGTCTATGAATTTTCGAAATATCGAGCAAAGAGAAAATCGAAAAAAAAAAAAAAAAAAAGAAAAAGAAAAATCCATCTACCGCTCGAAATTGATTGATTGGATTTGCACGCGTGGCTTTTTTGCATCGCTTAGGTATACGACGATCAATAAAAGCGTACGAGCTTGATGGGACTTTAATTGTCATCGGCGCCGTAACGAGCGACTTCTCGGNTTTTTTTAACCACGCGTTTACGCCATCGACGAAAATAACAGCTTAAAACACGCATTAAGCATCGTAATTGTTTAACTACCTGTAAATTTAAGGACGAATTCACTAAGCAATTTATCGAAACAAGCACCAATGGTATGGCTGTTTTTTATGTCTCAACGAGCACAAGTACTTGACGTTTTGGCAAGGGATGCCATGGATGCCACGCAAAGAAGAAAGAGAGACGAAAAAAAAAAAAAATAAAAAAGAAAGAAAAAAAGGCACCGAAGCCATGTCAACAATCCATGCTGTGTTTACCTTGAGTCGATAATACTTGAGAGAGCATGTAAGTATATGCAATTTGCTGACAACAAGGTCGGGATGAGACTTTGTTGAAATCGATCGCAATGCCGATTAGTGGCACGGCCTCGTTGTCGCATAATAATCAAACATTGATACAACTTGTATGGGCCCGAATCTATCGGTCTAATCGTTTCATGCAACTGTATAGTTACGTGCACACCATCAAAATCGTGGGAAATTCGCGGTACAGGTTCAGATAAGTCAGTTTCACCTATTGATAGCCTCTTATACTAGATGTGAAAAAAAAAAATATAATATGGTACAGATGCGAGAGTGTCTCTCGTGCTCCCGTAATCTTATCAAAGGACGAGCGTATTTGGTTAACAAGTCCTCGTAGTCCCACGTCACCTTGAACTTTGCTTGAATTAGTAAAATTGATAATACATCCACGTATATCAGATACACCGTTTAATCGAATTAATTTTTTTCATATCCGCCGCACACCTTATCTTTGGCATTTTAAACTTTTCCTAGACCGAAAATCGACAATATTATCTAAATGATAATCGAAACGTACATTAGCAACAGATAACCGTTCCAAGTAAATAATGACAATAATCGCTGTGAAATTATGTCATTTCTCCGTATAGTCAAAACGCGGCAACTCCGGCTGTATGCAATCGCTAGCCCTCCACGTTATACTCTTCCGTATTTTCGAAAACAATTTGCTTATCGATTTGCGAGCCTGCATACATTGTGTAAAGCGTTATCTTTCTCGTCAAAGAAACCTCCCTTTTCCATCCCCATCGCGTGACCATTTTCCCCTCGAGTGTAATATTTTCCAGCGATGAATCTGGCGTGCTCGGCTGTACAGCCTCCCCTCGGTTTATTTATTCGCCCTTTGCACGCACGGCTCGGAGGGTACGTGCAGCAGCACGAAAACTGTTTCCAGAGCCATCGCTAACGATGGGCAAATATAAAGGATGAATAACAAAAGTGTGTACATGGTCACCTTTATCGAGTCCCACTGGCCGAATCGAGGGAGCCCTTGCACGCACCGGCAAACCTTGATGAACGCGAAGCTCAAAGTCAGTCGCGTCTCATCTGTACAGATGGGACAGCCACAGCAGCACAGTAGAACAGGTATAGGCGTCCGGATGGACAGTCAGAAGCGGTGCGCCTTTGCCGGACTAGCGTAGCTGGCGTCCCCGAGTTACAGCTCCGGCTCCTCTTCCTCCGTGGCCGGCTCCTGGCACCTCGTCATCATCCCCGTATCACCGTTCTCGCGAGTACTCCCTGGGACGGAGAAGAACATATTATACTCGTCACTCGAATCTCTCCTTCTATTGTACATATATATATATATATATATACATGTAGGTACTCTCGCACGTGTGCAATCCCACCCCCACACCCCCCACCTGATGTGTATAGGGCTCGCGTGGCGGGTTGTAGGAAAACAGCCAACCGCTCGATATAATGGGACGCCTTTGGATTATAGATGACGCGTCCGCGTCAGATGTGTTGCTTTTATACTTACTTCCCGAGCCTTGGATTTTCTTTCTTACACGCCCGAGTCGGTATTAATAAAAAGATTAGTATGTACAGGGGAGGGGGACTTGCCAAAGTTCACCGCGTGAGTGGTTTCCCTAACTAGAGTTTCGATTAGCTGATAATAAATACATACCTACTGACCAGTGTACATATATAGCTACGAGGGAAAAGTTGGCGGTTGTTAACTCGATTTTTGGTATTTCTTTTCTTTTCTTTTTTTTCCGTTGAATCATGGTCCCGCGCGCCGAATCATTTCGTAAAGTACACCGGAGAAGAAAAGTTCGCCGGACTCGATTGATTTGGCTGGGGCCGTGTTTGTCGAATCCGTGCAGGGAACCCTCCAAGAGGAGAGCAAAAAAACCATCTTCTTTTTTTATTTCCCTCGGTGTCATACTGTATCGAAGGGTGCTTGGAAAAATGAAAGCTCGAGAGATAGATACGAATGGGCCTATTCACGGGCAAGTAAGTACATTTTTTTGTCTACCATAAAAAACATATATACACGTGCCGAAGTAAGAAAAGTTATTCCGAGAAAAGTACGACTGCCGTGGTTGGCGAACCGTCGCGCGCGCGAGCTTTTTTATTCTCGATTAGTATGTCATGACCTTCTCGAGGCGGCTTACGTCTCGCGTGTGTACGTGCCCCCCTCCCGGCTTTTTTTTTTTTTTTTTTTTTTTTTCTTCATAATCAAGAAAATGTTGTACGTTTTCATCGACCAGCCTACTGCCTTGTATATCGCGTAATGCGTACAAGTTTGCAGTATGATAAATCGTTCCTGATCACCGTGTGCATGGATATCAAAATCTAATGATTTAATACCTGTGTGTGCTCCCGCGTAGTCATTTTATTGATGGCTTTTCCGTTTAGTGTCCGGTAATTGTACGCGCTGTGGTGTATTAAATGTCTATTAATCATCTCGAATTTCGCGTGCACGCGTCCACAGCTATTTGCCGAGCGAGTGTTCGGTGTTCGTTACATTTGAATCGTTGAACATTACCTCAATACTAACGAAATGAAACGATGAATCCTCGAAAGTTGCAACCATACGGGGAAATTTCGTAACTAACAATATATTTCCATGAGGTTTTGCTGCGTCCCTCGATTAAATTTTGGGAACATTTTTCCAAATGGTCGCCTTACGCGTCCCTGTTATCCAACTTGAACGAAATACCAAAAGAATACTGATCACTTACGAGAGCCTACATGCATCCAAAATACCAATGAGATGGCAAAACGACACGTAATCGTGATACCAATCCAGATAGTGATGTGGCCTTGGCCTTAAGAGTTTATGTCGAGGTGCACTAAAAAACGCAACGCAAAGTAAAATACCAGAGCGCTTTCCGCTGAAATAACCGAGGGGGTAGCTTTAGGTCAGAAACTAGAGATGCCATCCTCAGTGCATCCCCCTGATAAAATGCTGCCATGGAACTTTCTCCCGACGAATGCTGCCTGACAATGGGATTGCACGAGTCCCTCTTTTCGCCTATGCGTGCGCTGTATGGTACGGATGACGATGTTATCCGTGTGTTGTAATAATATTTTAATTTGATGAAACCGTCAGTAGCTGTGGGAGTTTGGTTGCATGGATCGATAAGCCCACGTGCGATAAACCAATGATAAACACGCACAATTTATTGACAGTTGGTGTACAAGTTTTATTGATACTATTCGATGGTTCGCTCTCGTTTTATATGCTCCAATAACATCTACTTTATGGAAATTCCCGAATAAATATTGTGAATTGTACAGGAAAAGAAAATACTATAACACGCGAATGTGAGGCGCTACGACTGAAGGCACACAAACACAAAGCGAAGATAAAGAGACAGTCTGATAATTATTATCGCAACGTAAAGTGACTCCGAAAAACTATGTGTGTAAAAAAAGTTTAACCATTTTTTGAGCTCTTTATCTTACGTGCACCTAGTATATATATATATCAGCTATTACATCTAATCGAATTTGGATATCGCGTTGTAACAATAGTATTAGGATAATAAAACATTATTACTGCAATAATCCGAATCAGTACGTAAAGAAAAGGGTGACTGAACAATGTGTCACTTTGATGATAAAACGTGTACTTAACACATAAAGAATTTTTTAATGTTGCGATGTGTGTACGAAGATTTTTTATAATACACACCTTTCGGTGACTTCTTTTCTTCTCCCGAGTTTAAAAATAGCTTTGCGATGTACGTTTTTCGCACCAATTTCAAAAGTATTATTTTATTTCTTCGAGCTTCAAGGTAGAAAAATTGTATTTCCATTGCCTGGCGTCTTTTGTATAGATAATATTGTTTTTTCTTAACCATACAGCTTATTTGAGTGAAAAATCTGTTAAGTCGCGTATAGGCATTGGTGGCAAAAGTGTTCGTGAAAACTACAGCAAAGTTTTTCCAAAGAAATGCGCAAAGAGACCCAAGAGTAGAAAAAATCAGCATCAAAGGTCTCAAGTGAAAAAAAAAAAAAAATGAAATGTCGTACTTGTCCAAGGAGTTTCCGCTCATTTCCCGCAGAGTTTTCCACTTTTTCTGGCGAAAACTTAAGCCTCGACGACGACGACACTTATATCCGCATCAGCCCGCCCACACGGACGGAGCCACGTTCCTGAACTTGGGGAGCAAGAGCAACAACACTATACGCACTTCACTCGGGCATTTGGCTCGCGCGGCCGCTATTTATGGCGCGAAAACGTGAGATCGGCGAAGCTAGAGTCGGGACATCGGCGGGAGATGGGGCACTTTGGGCAGCAGTACAGCACGAGCGAGGTACTGTTGGTGGTTTTATATACTCGCGGGCGCTGCATCTGGTGCGTGCAGATCAGACGCGGTGCCGAGAGCCGACTGACTTTGAATGTTTACTACTTATCACTCGCCCGGTATTTGGCGCTAGCGTACGCTGCTACTGTTGGCTGATGTTCGATATACGAGCGGTCAGGGGAGACGCGCGGCCGTAGTTTTGATAAAGAAACGTTTGATTTCGAAAGCACCTCGCGTGACGGTTGTACGAAGAGAAGGGGTAGCTCGATTTCACCAAACGAGAGGAAAATTACATCTTGTTCGAGCTGATCTCGCGTCATCCGGTAAACTTTTCAGTCCCTCGAGCTTGGCTCATCCTAAATTCCCTTTTCAACGGCTGTTCGGCGTTGCATAAAAGGCCCAATGTATATTATCAAAGCCTACAGAAATGGGCGCCCTCTACTCACAAAGATACAACCTATTTGCGTCTCGGATGGTTGTGTTCAGGAGCTACATGCCAACGTGAAATATTGGATGTACTGGGAGTAGAGAAGGTGGAAAGAAAGGAATGGAGGGAAAAAAGTAATCGAGGAATTGGGGAGAGTTGAAGGCATCGTGAATTGTGCACGTGAATGAGATTTCGTTATTTTAGAATCGAGGCTTTGGCCTCGCCGAGCCAAGCCGATATTTTTAAACGCCCGTCGCGGTGAGATCCGCAATTAACGTTGATTTGCGCAAAACGCATCACTACCGCGACTCTCGGTCATTATACCCGTGAGACGCGAGATGTACGATATAATTGCGGTAACGCGTGGCATCTATTGTACTGTACCCGGTGAACAGGAGAATGCCTTTTTAGCAATGTTTCGCAAACGAAACCAAGTAAGCGAGCCACATGCCTACTCATTTTCAATTAAATTAACTCGCTCGTGTACCCAACCACGCATTGCGCAACAATTGTGCACAAGGAATCCAAAAGAACTGACCAAAAAGTCCATCGCTACTTCGCATAGGTACAACTTGCACATGTAAGGACGCGACATTGCAAGGTAATGGTATACATTATACTCCCTCCCTCCAAAGTAAATCGAAAGGCACTTGAACGTAAGCTATAGAAGCCTCACTCGCTACACTACTGTCGTTGCCGTTTGTGCAAACACAAGGCGGAAAATAAGTATATTGAAAAACCAGACATACGTTGCCAGAAAAGTAATCCTCGCTTTGGCCCCCTCCCGCAACCACCTCACGCGAAAATGGATTTTGAGAGGAGGTAAACTTGGCGCGCGTTGTTGTTTCCTTTGGCTCTTTTTTTTTTTTTTTTTTTTTTTTTCTTCATAATCAAGAAAATGTTGTACGCACCTCACGGGAGGGCGTTGCAACACACCGGAGTGATTCTCAAGCGGTTGGGACTGCTTGTAACCGGAGATAGCTGGTTAATACTCACCTGTTGGTCGCTACCTCTCTCTCCCGTGGCAAATTACACACGAGTATATCCTCCTACTCTGACGAATCGCGTGAAAGCGAGTAGTCTCGGAAGGATTATCATCTCGAGCCGATTAATATTATTGAAGGTAAACACGCACGCGTTGGCCCAACCAGTTCTCCGACACGTCACTGGTTTTATTACATCTCGTGCTTGGGGAACTTTTCGGGAAATCCATGACCTCTGGAATCATATATAGCTGGATAACAATCGGATTTGAAGTTTCAGCCCTCCTACAGAAACCGCCTTCTCTCCTACTTGGCGTGGCAGGTGTACTTTTTTTTTACGGGACAAGAAATCTGTTTGCTGTTTTAATTCCAGCTGCGTGATTGAGCAATGCGGCACATACCCCATGACTTTGCTTTTTGAGATATTATTTACCTTTTTTTTCTCGAGGAAATAATGTTCTTTGAGTTATTAATTGATGGGTGAAAAAGAGGCGCGCTTTTTGTGTTTGTTTTTACCGATTCTTTTCAGTTTGGCATACGCACCGAACGGCCTTGACGAATGACATGTATTTGCTTTTCGAGTACGCCCAAAATTAACATTCAGCGCTCGTATTGTAAAACCAAAATTTTCGAGCTTATGCGATAACAATGACAAAACGTATTACGCTTGCGAGGATGAATAAATCTTTTATCTTCTCGGTGATCTTGATGCTTTTCGAGTGGCATACATATGTAGGTATGGCGCAAAAGAATATTATTATCTCTGAAAAATCCATTTGATCAAGTTCGTCGACTCATCGATTTTTGAAGCAACTACACAGCTGAAGTGGAGCACGAAAAAAAAAAAAAAATTGTTCCTACCATCAACACATAACAGAATTATCAACTATTTTTTTCTCCACGTCATCATGTCTCGCGAACTGTAATTGTGTTAAAAAGTCCAATTGCCACTTGAATAAATAAACACAAAAATTTTTATGCCAATGGTTCTAAAAGCCTATGGAAATCTCAACGTGCCGAGCTTTGTTTGCAAACATCCTCGTGGAAAAAATTGAACTCTAAAAAGTTCATCCTTCGATCGTCGTGGCGTTCAAACGTAAAGGCAACTGGTCGAAGGAAAGGCTGTTTTAAAAACGTGACATAACACGATTTCCAATCTGTGGAGGGTAAGGTGTACACGAACGTGTTTATTATATATATATATACGTGCTCTTCGGAGTTTTAATTAGACCCAGCATGGAGATTTATGTCAGATAAAGTTAAACGAATCTTATAAAACTACAGCAAAGTTTTTCTCTACCGCTCGAAATTGATTGATTGGATTTGCACGCGTGGCTTTTTTGCATCGCTTAGGTATACGACGATCAATAAAAGCGTACGAGCTTGATGGGACTTTAATTGTCATCGGCGCCGTAACGAGCGACTTCTCGGAGGCANTTTTGTATAGAAAAGTTTCTCCAGATCCACCAGGACCATTAATGAAAACAATATTGATTGTTTAATTTAATTATTTCTTGAAAAATTCGACGTTGATCATGACTGAGTTGTGAAAACATTTAATGCAATTTAAGTTTACAAAATATTCTTTCATCATTGTCAGTATCAATTTTTTTTTTCATCGTTTCTGTTGGTTCTCGTAAACCGAAATCTTTACAAGACATATTTTCAGAATCAAAAATTTCGTTGAAATGTAAAAGAGCTTTATTTTTATCATCTTTACATTCTTTGCGGCTGAAAATAGAGGCAGTCCTTCGTGTACCATCATTTTTTTTTTTTTTTTTTTTTTCTATGCTTGAGACGTACTTTCGTTTGAAAACGTTGCGGTTTTTGTTGCTTTCTGATTCCGAGTTGGAAAACAATCGTTGGTTGGTAATTTTTTAATCCCTGGCTCCTTCCCTGACTTTTAGCTCTTGATCTGGTACTATACGCCTTTGATCGAAGAATCCAATCATTACATGACGCTAAAGAGCTGTAGACTAATGATCAAGTTAAAAAAAATAATGATATCTCTTCGGTTTCAACTCGTCATGTTTGGGTCAGGAGCGCGTTGAATCTGAAATATCGACTTTTGCGGCTGAGAACTGATACCACTTGAGATGTTCGTTTTATAAAAGAGTCAGTGCTGACAAAAAATATACATCCATTGGATGATAATATCTAGCTTATGAAAAAGAAGATTAGTGACAAGAACCTTACTTTGGTTAAGTATTACAACCATATTGTAAGGGAGTACAAGAAAGTCTGCGAGTTAGCAACTTCTCGCCCAGAGATTAAATTGAAATTTTTTTCAACAAAACTCTAAATGAAAAACTTTTTCAATGAAAACCAATGTTGGCACTTTCTTGCCCGTAGCTGTCCGTATGTACATGGTAAAAAGTATTTGGGGCAATTCCATGGAAGAAAAAAAAACCGATAGAACAATTTTGTTGATTCAACTGTATAAATTGTATGCGCTTCATTATTCATGGTTATCTCTTAAGAATAACAGTGACTCATCTCGAACCTTATTGGTTGTACCCGATGTAATCGAATGCCGAATGAAAAATTAGACGTAAGTCAAATGAATCTTACTTTTACCTTATTGTATACACGAGTGATTAATGTATTGAACATTTAAAGTCCAATTTTTTTATGTGTTTGTAATCATTGGTGTAGTATAAACAACCAAATTCACATACTTATGCCTTCAGTTTATTAACTATAGCTTCGCATAGATGAAAATTTTTTTTAATAAAATCAATATGATGCAGAAAGCTCACATGGTACAGGTACAATCGTAGCGGATGTCTCTTTGTATCAATGAAAAAAAAAAAAAAAATCGTTGTTGCATTTTGTAAAACATAAAAAATTCAAGTATACCCGTTAAAAAGGTGTGATTTGAATGAATTTAAATGGTCACTATGTACTTGAGGAACAGGCTGAATCGGAAAAACAAGTAAAATCTTTCAACCGGCGCTTTTTATCGAACAGAATCCAGGTGAATGATCACCGAGCCCACGCATAGATTAAAAATGAACCGAAGCTTAACGAAAAACAAAAATAAGAAAAAAGAACAGTAATCAAGTTGCAGCCGAAAGGAGCAACGAAGAAGGAACGGACAAATACAATCCGCCCGCCGGCCTTTGGACTATGTATGTACACCAGTAGACGAATGACAATGACGTCTATGAGAGTCTTAAGGGACGTTGCACCTAAGAAAGAGCAGCTCCTGTTGAGGAGGAGAAGGAGCTCGGTCGTCGGCTGCTAGACTCGCGATCGATAAAAAATATACAAGTACGCCCTCGCCGGAGAAAGAGGTCGTCCTGACATTCGCCCGTTTTTGGGGGAAAGTCGAACGAACGTCGGCTGTTTATCTCTGTTTGGACGCCGCGGTGGATGGCTCGATATTTTCTCATTGCAGCCTTTGAGGGGCCCTGAATGCAAGATTCACTAAACGAGGTAGCAAAGCTTCAATTTTCCTGAAGAAGCTTAGACGGTTTACGACCCTTGGGTGATACCGTAGATGACTTAAATTACCAATCGCCTTTCACTTTTGGTGAACTCCAATAAATTACTTCGAATAGCGTACAACTCCCCAGTGACAGAAAATGAGCATTTTTGTTTATTTGCTAACCTTTTCGACTATGATGTCAATACCAACTGAGAGTACTAAAACTAAAATGAGTCAGACTATTTTTTTAAGTATTGACAGACCTCGTTCATGTTTTGTTCACTCGCATTGAGTATCTTACATCTTTTATGAATCATTACGCTTGTTGCTTTGAATTGTTATCTCTTTGAGAGTGGATTACTTGCTCACACTGCACCTTTTGTAATTTTTTTATTTTTTTATTTTTATGAAAAAAGAATTTACAATTATGTCCAAAAAATGTATATCTCTATTCTGCAGAATTGAACGAGTTTCAGTCATCGATAACTGACATCATCCAAGGGTATCCTGCGGTGTAAGCGGCTGCTGTTGTGGTGTATCCCGAGAGA